TTGTCCAGCAGGGGCGTTGTTGTTGTTACATAATATGGTTCCAAATAATACAACACCATGTCCTGCATTCATTTATTTACACAAACATTTAGTTACCCCACTCACATATCCAGCCTTTTTGGCTCGTTTGAAACACGCTTTACTCCTTTTAGGTATTGACAGCAGCCAATATTCAGGTCATAGTTTTCGCAGAGGTGAGGCCTCCTTTGCCTTGGAGTGTGGCCTGCCAGGTGAGGTCATCCAAGCGCAAAGAGACTGGTGTAGCGATGCCTACAAATCCTATTTGGACCCATCCTTGTCTTACCGTCATCAGGTGATGCATGCTTTTGCTACAGCCTTTACCTCATCTTCCTTAAAATAATTTCTACTCACTACTATACAGGTTTGGGCAAATTTTTGGAGTACCACAGTTTTGCAGATCTATGTAATTTTGTCTTTGGCTATATTTGCCAATTATGTTTGCATCTAATTGGAATTATAATTAAACTGTGGATTTACTTGGCCCAAACCTGTATTTAGTTTTTATTCAGCCTCAAATAATGTAATGGTTTCTTCACTAGACTCTGAACTAGTTATTTGAATTGGTTCAGGACCTGGTTGAGACTCCTCATACAGAAGTTGTATACTCACACTTTTACACTAGGAAAATACAAGCAGAGATAGCCATTAAATATACATGTAGGATTTTGTCTGAGAGATGGTAGCAGCACAGCAAATCTTACCAGGGGGCAAAAAAGGGTGGGGTTAAGGGGAGGGGGTTAAGAGTTATGATTGGATTAATGGGGTATTTATTTTAAATATATTATTAATCAAAATAAAATTAACTCTGCCGTTGCATCATTAGGGAGTATTGATCAATAATTATCTTTACATGCCAGACTGGTGTTGGATTGCCGCTGTGCTCGTCTGCCCTCGGACGACAGTCCTTATTTGGTCAAGAGACTGGCATTACCAATGGGAAGGGGGCTTCCAGTGATGATCAGTCACATGACTAATTAGCTGATTGGTTTGTGATTGTAGTGCGCTCACTTCAATTAGAAAATATAGCGTGGTTGAACGCAGCAAAGTTTCATGCAGAAACTAATTTTTTATTCCCATCCACCGCACCACTTTGTTTATTGCATGTGTTTCTTTTACTAGTTCTTAGTTAATTTGTAGTTTTGTTTGTTATGAGTACCACAGTTTTGCAGATCTATGTAATTTTGTCTTTGGCTATATTTGCCAATTATGTTTGCATCTAATTGGAATTATAATTAAACTGTGGATTTACTTGGCCCAAACCTGTATTTAGTTTTTATTCAGCCTCAAGTAAATGTAATGGTTTCTTCACTAGACTCTGAACTAGTTATTTGAATTGGTTCAGGACCTGGTTGAGACTCCTCATACAGAAGTTGTATACTCACACTTTTACACTAGTAAAATACAAGCAGAGATAGCCATTAAATATACATGTAGGATTTTGTCTGAGAGATGGTAGCAGCACAGCAAATCTTACCAGGGGGCAAAAAAGGGTGGGGTTAAGGGGAGGGGGTTAAGAGTTATGATTGGATTAATCATATAGAATAAAGTAAGTTTTCACAGAGAGAGATTTATGGATGATCGAAAATCACTTCTACATAAAAAAAAAAAAATAACGACTTTTTTTCCCTTTTATGGTAAATTGTACCTGTGAAGATTATATTCCGTAATGGCTGGAATTTTATTCGATGTCTTAATAAATATAAGGCTAAAGTTTTTGTTAATATTCTGTTAATTCGCTAGTAGAAGTCATTGAAATTTATAACAGTTAAAGAATCTTGTTTATACAACCTAAAACATAAAAGGTCTCCTTAAGTCTCCACCGTTGCTACATAGTACGAGCTAAAAAACGACGATTTTCAAATAAAATGTCCAAATATATTTGTCAAATATGCGAGTAAATACCAACCTAATGCATAAAAACTATATTTTGTGTGTACTTTGATTGTATTCAAGATATGATGAAAATGTTTCAGTCAATAAAAACCGTGTAAAGGAACAGCTTTTAAAAATTGTTTATAATTTGTGTATTGCTGGTTCGGCATCAAATAAAATGTCCATATATATTTCACTACAAACCAGTAAAAGTCTGAAATGGCCTATATCTGTACTCGACTGTACTGATTTTTACTCGACCAGTCTGAACTTGTCTGAATTTTACTCGACATTACTCGACCCCAGTCTTAACCATACTCGACCGTACTGATTTGTACTTTACCCTTATCTTTGCCATTGAAAATAGTTTGAACTATCACTCGACCAGTCTGAAACAGTCTTAACCCATTCTCGACCTGTACTCGACCAATTTTTTCAGTCTAAACCATACTCGACCAAAGGTCTGAACAATACTCGAGCAGTCTGAACCATACTTGACCAGAAAACCTATACTTTTTTTTAATTTTAGCTGTTAAAATTAATTTCTTTTTTTCTGACATGACAACAGCCACAATGAAATAAAGATATATATAAAAACATATTTTTACATCCTTACATGATTCTCAGAATTATCAAATAGAGATAGTTAAATTAAATTATCTTATATAATAATTTAATTATATCAATTTTAAAGTTTTAGAGTTAAAAAAAAGATTTTCTTTTAACTAAAAAACCACAGCTTTACTGAGGGTAATAAAACCTTAGTTATTAAGGTGCTTCTTGTTTGGCATGTGTGTTTTTTTTTTTTTTAAACTTAATTTTCCTAAATTCCTAAAGAAAAACTAAATAGGTTTCATGGTTACATACAATAGTTATATAATTATCTTTTTAATGAGGTAACAACAGCCAAAAATCACTGAAATTGTTTAACTTTATATTAGAAATATATCTATTCTTATTATAATTTGGGATATATTATATATATATATAATATATATCAAAAACGGATAAAAAAATTAAAGAAATAGATAATTTTTTTCTTCTGATTAGTGGTAAGGTATAAAGTAATACCTACTGCTTGGGGCAAACTCATTAAAAAGATCACACCTGGTCAGAGGGTATTAAATTCTAATTAACATTCATTAAAAATTGCAACATCCTGTAAAACTTAAATCACAAGGCCTTTTGAATTCACTAGATAAGTAATACATGAGTTTAAGAAAAAAAGGGCTTTCTTTTTACCTGTAAAACACACATGTACTGAGGTAATTAAACCTTATTAAAGTGCTTCTTGTATGCCATGTCTTTAATTTTGACAAAAGTTATTTAAATTTAATTGAAATAAATTTTTTCTGCAACTTTGGAACACATTTCCTTTTTTAAATGGTTATCAAGGATTGCTATGGAAGTTCTATTATCATGATTATATTAAATTCTTGGTTTTACAAAACAAAGGTGTGATTTTTAAAATTTATTAAGTTGCTTTATATACTATTTTAAATATATTTTAATAAAAAAAAATGTTCACTGCATTATTAACTTAACTCAACCGACACAATAAATCTATACAAGGCTTAAGTAAATGGTGAAAATTGTCCAGTAACCATAAAATATATCTGAAACATTAAAAAAAAAAATTGAATAACATTGAAAATATAAGTCACAATTCAGTTTTGAGATTATTTGATCAGCTTGTTTTATTTTTATTTTAAAGGTGATATATATATGCAAGTGTTGATAAATATGGTGTTGAATTTATATTATGTTTATTGTGAAATCTTGGTTTCAATGCCATATTGAATACATTTTAAATTTCAAATTGTTGTTCAAATTTCTAGCCAGAGGAAATAGCTGTTAAAACAGATCCTAAATTGATGAAATACAATAGATAGATACAAAAATTAGGTCTAGGTAGGTTAAGACTTAGTCGAGTATGGTTCAGACTAGGTCGAGTACGGTTCAGACTAAGTCGAGTATGGCTCAGACTAGGTCGAGCATGGTTCAGACTAGGTCGAGCATGGTTCAGACGAAAATAAAATGGTTAAGTACTGGTCGAGTAAAGGTCGAGTACAAGTTCAGACTGTTAAGTATGGTTCAGACTACAGTCGAGTATTATCAAGTAAATTGCAGACCAATTCAGACTGGTCGAGTAAAAATCAGTACAGTCGAGTACAAATATAGGCCATTTCAGACTTTTACTGGTTTGTAGTGTTTGTCAAATACGTGAGTAAATAGTAACCATATGCATAAAAACTACATGTGTATTTTGATTATATTCAAGATATAATGAAAATATTTCACCCAGTAAAAACCTTGTTATATAACAGCTTTTTAAAATTGTATATAAATTGTGTAGTGGTCGGCATCTTTCTCTAATTGTGTTTTCTTGTTTTTTTGAAATTTTGTACAGATAAATGAAGAATGAATACAATATAAATAGTTTTGTAATTAATAGAATGTGGTCCGAAATAACACCTTGATATTAATCGAATTAATTCTATAAATGTCCATGCCGTATGAAAAAAGCCCTCGGGTGGGGATATGCAATTTAATACGGGTATGAGTATGACATGCATGTATATTCCCGAAAAAAAATGACAAATACAAATTCGTTTATTATGTGTACATGGATGTATATTGTTTATCCAATACAACTGTATATAACTGGTTATATTTATAATCTCAGTCCACAAATTTCTGATGCCCAAGTGATGTTCACGCCATGGACTGCTTGTAATAAATGACGCATTATCATCACGACCGATTGATAATATAAGACAAATCTGCGTTCCGTGTGTATTTGGCATGACATTTGCGCCCATTTTAAAAACTTTTGATACTTCAATTGCACTAATTTGATTATTTCATTTGCGCCAATTGTGCAAAGGTAAATTACAAGTGAATGTTATTTTTATTTATAACTATAAAGCTCTTCCGTTAGCCAGTTGTACCTATATAATGAATTGTCAATTATAACATGTATAACTGTTGTCTTCTGCAAAAAGATTGCTGTTCTTTTTTATCTGACTCAGAACTGGATGGGAAAATCCAGTCTATTGGGCTCAGTACAGAGTATAAAGACAAATCAATATATATATAATACATACTTGAACCAACTTGAGTAGTTACTACTGCTGGACTACTGTAAGCACTGAGTGAAGATCCATCATGTAAAGCAACAGCACAGATATATTCTGTCTCTGTCTGTATTCCATCAACAGATGTAAATGTATAAGTGTAGGTTCCTGATGATACAACAGCATTAGCATTGACAGTCCCATCTGTGCAAAATACATAATACTGCCTGAAATCAAATACATGTGCTTTGAAATCGTATCTATGAATTTGCTCATTTCTTTAATAAAAGGCAGTAACTGTTATTGAGTGACAATTAATTGGCCCTTAAAAGAACGCTCAGAATAACTGCTATGAAATAAATTTCTATTACTGTAAATTCAGAAATTTTTGCTTGCATTTATTATTTTGATTTTTTTAAGATAGTACATTTACAAAATGTAAAGTTAATTTTATATTGTTATTTCAGGAAAATCTGCAAACAGATAAATCTATCTGATATCCAAATGCAACTTTTTATTATTGGGATGACATAGAAAACTTAAGGTATCTTGGGACGTCCACCAGTAGTTTTACTGTCACAAATTCCCTTTTACCTGTATCCGCTACGTGTCGCCAGGTAAATTAAATTTGCGACAGTAAAACTACTGATGGACGTCCACAAAGCTTCAAATACAATACAGTTATTTTTTCTTAATTATAATATTGAAGATAATAAACAAAAACTGCAAAATTTCCTTAAAAGTACCAATTTAGGGGCAACAACTCAACAACCAGTTTTCTGATGTGTCTAAAAATTTCAGGGCAGATTGATCTCGACTTGATAAACATTTTTATACTGTCAGATTTGCTGTAAATGTTTTAGTTTTAGAGCTATAATCCAAAAACTGCTTTTTACCCCCCCCCCCCCCCCATCTTCTATTTTCAGCCATGGCGGCCATCTTGGTTGATGGGCGGGGTTATCAGATACATTTTTTAAACAAGATACCCTAAGGATGATTTAGGTCAAGTTTGGTTTCATTTGGCCCAGTAGTTTCAGAGGAGAAGATTTTTGTAAAAGTTAACGGACGACGACCGACGACGGTAGCCAAGTGACAAGAAAAGCTCACTTGGCTCTATTGGGCCAGGTGATCTAAAAAGGATACCTAGTAACATTGTGAACAGTTTACTCTGATGGCCAGGGAAACATAATTTGTATTATCCATACCATGGTGTAGTAGAAGCATCAGGAATATAGGATGTTGATGACACACTATTATTGGGTCGTGTCCATGTGACATCTATACTGGTCCCAGACAGGGCCACAGCATTCACATGATAAGGAGCTAAAAGTAAAATACATCATTTTGTTTGTACTGTATTAGATTGTGTTTGTATGTGCAAGTTTTTATATCTATAAACTGTTATTTCACCTTTTGGCCCAAAAAAATCCCTTCAAAAGATATTAGTGTTTAGGGTTTCCTGAACCACCCTTATTTTCTATACAAATAACTAGAAACAAATATATAGCTGGTGCCAAAATAGACCTTTATATACCCACCAATTTGTTTAAGAAGCCTAAAGAGAAACCTTAAACATATAACAGGCTATTATTTCAACTTGGAATTATTTTTAATTATGGAATTTGTATAATTTCTTGTGCCCGGTATATATTTACATTTGATTTTTTGTTTACTGAAACCTACTTGTGACGTCACATTCTTTCATTGCCATGCCAAGACAATATCATCATTTCGCGGAATTTTCATTTTATGAAATTTTACCATGAATAATAAATTGAAATGGACTGATTTGTTTATTTTGCTGTAAAATAGAGATAAATATATTGTATCTGAATCTTGGCCTTCGTAAACTGGGGATTTTGATGCCGAAAAATTGAGAACAGCTGTTTTTGTGTATTACTGTGTTTGCGCTAAAGGTTGTGATCATACTAGTTGACGATAATAGGTTGTCATATTAGAATCTGTATTATGTTTTGAGCGGTGCATAACACTTTCCATACAATACCTTGACCTATAATGGTTTACTTTTATAAATTGTGGCTTGGATGGAGAGTTGTCTCATTGGCACTCATACCACAATTTCCTATATCAATGTATTTTGTATAGATAGTGTTGTGAGCTGCACAGTACATTCGATTGAAAATGTTCTATCTTCTTTGTAATAGAAAGTGTTGTGCGCAGCACAGAACATCAAAATACAGAATAAACATGGAATTTATTAAAAATTTCAAGCACAAGAAATTATACAAATTCCATAACTAAAAATAATTCCAAGTTGAAATAATAGTCTGTTATATATACTTTTTGTTTGGCCTTGTTACAATGCTCGCTTATTTTTATGCATTTCATAGAATCTCTATACGGTATACATTTGTTGAGCAAGCTCTGTTGCTAAAGAAATAAAAATAAATAAATCAAAAACAATATTCCTGACAGGTTTCATCAAGTCTCCTCATAAAAAATTAAATGGGCAGCTTTTTTGTTAGAGGCCAATAATATAGACAGACCATCAGAAGAAAGAACCATTTAAATTGAAATAGTATATAACATACCTTAAACTGAAATACAATGTTCTAAATATCCATAGAACATAGATATTGAATATCAATCTGATATGAATAGTTATCAGTGGTCTCTAGGTAGCATATGTTCATCATGATTCTGTGAAAAATGTAAGTTAGATTCCTGACTTGAAAATTGGTATTTGCTGTTTCTAATGCTAAACACACACTATAAAGAAGTAAGAGCAAGGACTTAGAGTGACTCAGAATATGTCCAGTATGTGGCCAAGTGCCTTCCTGCAGTCTTCCTTGTGAGCTAGCATGCACCATTTTAAATCTTGCTCAGCTTATATTGGTTTAGCAAAGAGCAGGTTTTATAAAAAAAAAAAAAGTTTGAATGGCACTTGCATTGCCATATTGTATCTGCACTAGGGTAATTACTAAAAAATTTAAAAATCAGAAATGTGTAGGAAAGATATGGCTAAAAATGCTTTATTCCCATATATTTCATTTTCTATGGAGCATATAAACTCCTATAAAATTACCTTGTCAGCACTCTTTTAAGACCTTGCTGTTATCAGCTTTTGATATACACTTCATGAAAATCAACAAAAAAAGTAGGTGTGAGTGTGCTTTCAATGCAATGTTCAATAAACATAATAGATAGGATAACTCTTTCCTGACATAAACCTATGACATAAACTTCAAAAAACAAGAAATGTAAGTGTGATAGTGCTGCCTATTTTTTATTGAATTCACATTTCTTAGGGACATAACTCCTGTAAAAATAATTGAAAAGCTGATTTTCTATTTTGTCCAATACATTGCTGGTAATTTAAACTTTGATATGAATTTTATAACAATCCTACAAGTAATGTGAATGCATTTTTTGTTTGCCTCAAAAGGTTTGACAATCAATGTATGGAACAATAAAGTTTAGTATCAAATGCAAACTTGTGAACTCAGACGTAAATTTGTGATTAAGACTATGATGAAACTTTACTACCTAAGGTGTTTTAGCTGGACAATGTCCCCCACAATGTCTTGTCCAGTCTTCTCTACAATTTGTGTTGTCTAGCCAGATTCATTATACTGTAAATTCATTGGATAACAATTTTTGTGGATTTCGTTGGTAAAGGTGACTGACGAATTTAAATGTTTAATGAAATACAAATTCTATATGCCTGTATGCAAAACTACAAAATCATTCATTTCTACAGCCATACAATTTTTCCTAAATCCATAAAAATTTGACCCACGAAAATATATGAATTTACAGCATATACTTTCATGCAACCAAAAAATAACAAGATGTCTTATCACTAGGCTTCAGCACGGACAAAACATTAATGATGGATAATGGATGTCAAAAATGCAAAATATCACCTGTTCTTTGATGGAGTTTTACTATTAACATATGTACATACAGCATAAAAATAATGCAGGATCAGCACTTAAGAAGTGTGGTAAGGATCCTGATGAGCTAGAATCTAATGATATCCCTGCTAAACCCACTGGACTACTGCACTCTCCATCTGTTATGATAGATTTAACAACTGTCATTGTTTCAAGAAGGTAACAGTCACAGCCAATGTCAGTGTTCCCTGTCAGTGTCCTACAAAAAAGTCATCATAAATCAGTGAATAAATAGTTGTAATAATAGAAGTACTGAACATCGGATTATGGTAAGTTCTTATGGTGTTTACAAATTAATTAATTTTGAGGATTGTTATGACCCATCAGGTTATCTGATTACATGTAACAACAAATTATGACACCTGTAGTGATCATTGATTAGCACAGGGTAGTAAATTTGTCATAAATATGTCGCCAGGTAAAATTATGGATAATATAGAAATTGATCAGAAAAACTTTAAAATCAGTAACCAATAATTTTTTCAGGTACATTTTGTGAAAATCAGGATTTTGACTTGTTTTACGATCCCGATATCGGGATTTGTGTTGCGGCATGAAAATCGGGATGATACCGCCAAAATTGGGATAGTTGACATGTCTGGAGTCTCTGGCATTCTTTAAATGTTCGGTTTAGATTTAGACTATGTCACATAGTAACGTTCACTTTGATGAAGTTATTGATGAACATCCTTGGTATACAGTATAATAATAAGTTTCTTTCTATATTACTGTAATAAGGGTAAAGTAAAAAAAACATGTGTCACAGGTGAATTATCACACAAATACATTCAACATCAGTAAGTTAGTGACAACTTATAACTGTGTCCAATATCCCAATGGAGAAATGAACTGGTAAAATAATGCTTTCCACATCCTTAATATAACTTTATTCACTGGCATAAAAAAAAAAATTGAGAACAATATCAAATTTAATTTTATACACTTTTTTTTAGGGTCGTCCTAACTAAATCCTTCTTACAAGGTTTTAAATTTCTTGTTTCCATCAAAATCTGTAAATGCAGCAATCTCAAATGATCTAATGAGATTATTACTTAGATCCAATGACTTTAGATTGGTCATGTTGGGTAACTTTGGGAAGAAGATTAGTTCATTATCTGCTAACTTTATGGTCTGTAAATCACCAAGCTGACTGAATGAAAGAGGCTCAATGTAGGTCAAGTTGTTGCTGCTCATGTCTCTGAATAAAATCAAATTAAGAAGTAAGTTAAATAAATGTTTTAATATTCAAAACAATATTGCTGTCTTAAATGCTAACTGTGTTAGAAAGTAATTGAAATTTTGCAATCAAATACATGTATAGGCAATACAAATTCTGCCCACTAATTTGATAAAATTGCATTGAAGTAATGGGAAAAATAATAAGGTCCCAGTGTACTACTTGTGAATTTTAAGAGAGGAACAGAAACAAATAATTAATATTGACTCAAACGAAGCAATACATCACAGAGATTTCTTGTTACATGCTAAAAATGAAATTAAGTGCCAATTAAGATGTGCTAACACATTGCTAGAGCCTGGGACATGAACAGCCTTAATGTGAAAATTGAATGAGGCTGACAACCAAAAAAGTTCCCTTAAAAACCCATTAAGATCTTGTTACGAGATGTACATTTATTAATGCAGGCAACTGTGGCCATATTATCACACAGAACAATAACTCTTTTATTTTCCCAACTACTAGACCAGCGTTTAGCAGCTAAAATAACTGAAAAAGCCTCAAGTTCATTGATATGGAAACTAGAACAACGAGGGAAATCTTGTTCCCAATTGACATAGAACCAGTCTAAATCATGGAAGCCGCCCCCTCCGCTTTTACAAGCATCTGTTATAACAGACGTAATTGGTATCTTATCTAAAATAAGGGATTTCCCATTGAAGGAAGCAATAAAATCCTGCCACCAAGTGTTATCTGCTAGAAGTTCACCCTGGACGCATATTTTGTGCCAGTCTTGCTTAAGACATGTAAAGCTATTAATGATCCTGCGAAGAAATACTCTTCCGCCATGAACCACTGCGGATGCCCAATTTAATTTGCCTGCTAAAGATTGGAGCTGCTTTTTTGATGCGCGCTGGCGCTGCTTAAACTCTGCTAAATCATTCTTCAAGGCAGAGAGTTTTACATCAGGGAGGCGCAATTCCATAAGCGTGGAATCTATTTCAATCCCCAAAAAGGTTATTTTTTGACAAGGGCCTACAACTTTGGACCAGCTGATCAAAAAACCTAGAGAACACAATAGGCGAACTAGTGTGTTTAGCGCTTCTAAACATCTTGCTTGTGTTGGTTCGCATATCAAGAAATCGTCTAAATATGCGACAATAGTAAAGCCTCTACGTGACATCATACGTTTGACAGCCTGAGACAATCTATGAAAAATATTAGGTGCTAATTTTGCACCAAAAGGTTATTTGCAATCATATAAAGTATGCTCAATGCCATTAGGAAAAACCCATTTAAATCCAGTAACTTGTTGACTTTGCTTACTAATTCGAACAGATCTATAGGCAGATTTTAAATCCACTTTTGCCAAAAAATAATTTGGAGCCACCAATTTAGCAGCATCATCAATAGTTTGAAATTTTTGTTTAGGAAACTCGTCCACGAGATCGTTAACGGAGGTACCTACTGGCCTACTACAATCATGAATAATGCGTACACCCCCATCAGGCTTTGGTATGATGCCTAAAGGGCTAATAATTTAGGGAGTAGACTGCGCAAATAAATAATTTCCATTTTCTATTTCAATTAAAATCTGGGCATGTGCCTTGTCATAAAGTGGATGTTTCGGGTTTGCTGATGGGTGATTCTTTAATTCTACGAATGAAGGGATTTCAAATATTGAAATAATGTCAAAACCATTTTCAATACCGTTTAGTAAAAAGGATTTATCAAAGTCATTTTCCAGTTCCAGCTGCCAAACTTTTAGGTTAAGATCACGTAGAGACTTTACCCTGAGTTTTCTGGAGGGCCACCAAATGAGTGTGATTGTGCCGAGTGATCCCGGTTACCACCTGGTACTGAACAGATGTGTTCAAATTTACAGAAGGTTGACTGACAACCCCTTCTCCCATTAAACCGTCTGCATATCTCCTTTCCTGCATGAGAATGGGATGCATACCCTGCAGGTTTTGAGGTGCCTTTCCCCCAAGACTTTGAATTATTAGACATATTTACATTGTTAGGTTGCTGGAATCTAGGGCGTAAGAACACTGTTTGAAGATGGGGAACATCAGTGCACCAGGAAAATTTATGTTGGTGTTGTAAACACCTGTACTCTCTGTCATAAAAGAAGACAGAGACCATGTCATAACAAGTAATTAATTGGTATATGCGCTTTGAATACGACATATAATCTAGATAATTTTGAGGGGTAAGAGCCCCAGTTTCCAGCAACTTGTACATAATAGAAATATTGGACTTTGACCACTGACAAAGTGTTATTGACTCCAATTTGGGTTTTATAGGACCTGACTTGAACACCAATTGCCCCCCGTTAGCCTGAGAAATTAAACTTTCATTGTTATCAGATTGAAAAACATCGGAACAAACAAAGTCAATAATATCTAAATGTTTAGAGTCCACTATTGGCACCGATTTTAGGCATAACTGCGGGTCCTGCCACGAAAAAATGTCACCAACTCCAGGAACTGTACCTTTCTGTGTGTTGTTCTGGGAAGTTTCTGGTAATCCTGTCGCACTCAGTTGATTGGTCGTTAGTTGATCCATCAATGCCCGGATATAAGGGTCCTCTCCGTCTCGTTGATGGGGGATGCATTTCTAATCCACTTGCGGTTATTGAACTTCCGGCTCTGATTTCGGATTGAGGCTCCGCGTCATTTGCCGCCATGTTTGTCGCTCCGTTAACTTGCGTTTCCTTCACAAATGTCTTCTCCACCGCACGCATTCACATCTTTTCTTGTCCTAGCGGAATATGGAAAGTTTTGATGTCCTCTAATGTCAACAAGGACAACGATTCAATGCTGTTGAATCCATTCTTCAGCAATTCGTCAACGGTACTTTCGTCTAGTTTTTTGGAGGTTGCCCACGCTTGCACCTTTTCGATATCTTCCATTGCTAATTGCTAATGACAAACGAAATTTGATCAATTGAATAGTCTGAATCGTGAATGTCAGCACAAGTTTACAGTGATAATCAATTCTAATCTGTGCGTGTACTTTTGCATGGTACACAAACGGGCACAACGGCAGAAAAATTACAAAAAATACACCCACTGCAACATGCGGCACAATCCAATTTTAATGACCACAAAGCCCGATTGACATCGTTCTCGGTTTCAGACAAGGAAGAGTTCAAAGTAGAAATTTCTTCGTCTGACAGTTGGAACCACTCGGGAAACCCCAGTATAGCTTTAAATTGTTCAAAAACTGATGCCATAATAAGCAAGAAACGTGACTTACATATGTATGTTTATAAAGCACTCAATAAATAATCCAAGCGTTTATATAATAAAAAATTAGTTTCTGCATGAAACTTTGCTGCGTTCAACCACGCTAAATTTTCTAATTGAAGTGAGCGCACTACAATCACAAACCAATCAGCTAATTAGTCATGTGACTGGTCATCACTGGAAGCCCCCTTCCCATTGGTAATGCCAGTCTCTTGACCAAATAAGGACTGTCGTCCGAGGGCAGACGAGCACAGCGGCTATCCAACACCAGTCTGGCATGTAAAGATAATTATTGATCAATACTCCCCTATGATGCAACGGCAGAGTTAATTTTATTTTGATTAATAATATATTTAAAATAAATACCCCGTATACATATATTTTCTGTTGAGTTTTATTGTTTCATTCTTTTGAAAATGGCAAACAACAGATATTTTAAACTTGAGACTCTAAAGAGCCTGTGTCGCTCACTTTAGTCTATGTGCATTTTCAATAAAGAACACTCTACAACAATGAAGAGGTCTCAGAACAGAATTCATGACAAAAATATCTGTTTTGTTGATCTTGTATTGATGATCATTTAGTCTGCTTTGTGTCCTTTTTTCTTCAAAACACAAAAGAGATTAACAAAAAATTCCTACTTTAATGGCAATCACTCCTACAAAGAGTGACAGTCTTCTAATTATATCGGCAAAATTAGACTTGTAATTAGAACTTGCTTTGGTGATCATTTTTGTGATTAAGTGTCTATTTATCTATTATAATTCTTAACATACAAGGCAAAATGCCAAAAAAATGTTAAAAATCGTCATCAAAGGGCAATAGTTCAAATTAGGAGTTATTGACTGATTTACTCCATTTGTCTTAATTATTATGATCTTGTCTTCCTGATAATTTTTGCTGATCTAAGTTTCTAGATAACATAATCTTTAAGATAAGGCAAGAATGTAAAAAATTGGTAAAAATCCTCATCAAAGGGCTATAACTCTAATAAGAAGTCAACTGACAATTTCCACCATGCCAGATTCGTTTTTAGAACTTGTCATGCTGATCATTTTTGCAAATATAAAGTTTCTCTCTATCTTTTATAGTTTTCAGCATGATAGGCAAAAATGAACAAAAATGGTAATTTTTGTCATTAAAGGGAAATAACTCCTATATGAAGTTGCTGATAGGTTTGATGTATATAGACCAATGGAAGAGTTCATCATTCTGAACATTTTTGCACCGTCAAATTTTCTCTATTTATAATGATTTTCAAAATAATAGACAAAACTTGTATTTTATCCCTATTCTCTATTTTGAGCCATGTCAGCCATTTCAGTTGGCAGGTGGGGTCATCTGACACATTCATTAAACTAGATACCCTAATGATGACTGTGGCTAAATTTGGGTCATGCAGTAGTTTCAGAGAAGATATTTGTAAAAGTTTACGACGACAGACGACAGTTGTGAAAAAGGAATGATGAGAAAAACTCACTTGGCCTTTTATGTCAGGTGAGATAAAAAGGGGACTGATGAATAATTTCAAGTCACAGAAATAAAATCATGATGTCATATTCTACTTAAAAATCAAATTCCATAGAAATCCAAGAAGTTTATAAAAATATACATATTTTGCAAGGCAGAAGAATACATATTACATCAGGAATTAAATCAGAATATCATTTTCAATGTAAATATGAAATTTCATTAAATCTTTGAAATTTTATTAAGTATATATATGGAAGTCAACAGATAACTTTTGAAAGAGGTAATTAACTTTGAAAAGCATAGAATACCGTTATCAGTTTTCGTTGAAATAAAAGTACAAAAAGAAATTCCTCCAAATCTTGATTTTCTAACAAATTTTTGTTTATTTCAATTTTCACAATGAAAATATTACGCAAATTTACAATTGAAGTTTAACAACTGTAAAATGTGGTGTTCTAGTACTACTTAAAACTTTTAGAGAAGAACAAAAAGTATTTCTTCATTCATTATGACATCAGCGATATGTCTGGGTCAAGGTTAATAAGGCAAGATCAATGTATTTGATGTCACAAAGCTGTGATATGCTATTTTATGAGAAGCTGAGCAGAGTGATACAGACAGTGGGAACACCAATAAGAATGTTTAAATAAAACTACTAATAAATTTACCAGGTTTTGAATGTATACTTACAAATATGTGAGATCAGACAAGGCATCCAAAGTTCCTTGTTCAATCTTCTTTAATCCATTACCAGACATATCTAGTATTTGAAGTGTACCATGGTTGAGGAAAGTATTACTGGATATTTCTGTCACTTTATTGTTCTCCATATATCTTTAATGTAAAGTTCTGTTACAACAAGTTTGATTGAGACAGTAATTCTAAGTTGATAGAAAATAATAATTTCAAAGGAAATTAAAAAGAGAGTGAAATGAAGAAGGTTAGAGTGACCCCCATGTTTCTAAACTGTGATGTATATTGTTGTTAATCACAGGTATATGACAAATTAACTTAAGAACAAAAGTTATCTTTAGGAAAAAATGCATAAAATTAAAATAATACTGCCCTCTGTGTAAGAGAGTTTTTGATGTGCCTCTCCAAAGTTAGGAGCCTATAAATTTGTGGTTGTTGTGTTGTTGCTTTCTGCCGTATTTATTTTATGTTTATTGTCTTTAGCATGATAAAATGTGAAACAATTCAAAAGAGAAAATATCATGTCTCAGCATTTTAGTTCCCTGCTGATAATTAATACTTACATAGAGAGAAGCCCTTTGTTGCCCAATGCCGCTGAAGGATATTGGTCAATGTTGTTGTCACTTAAATATCTGAAATAAATCACTTTAATACACTAAATTATCAAAAATATGATGTAAGGTTTCTTTGATAATATTTAATGAAAACTGTCTTAATGGATCCGTTTGGAAACTGAATGTTCAAGTTATTCAAATAAGACAGGTGCATGTGTACAGATTAATTAATGTCATGAGGAATATTTAACATATCTGCTAGTCATGGATTAGAAGTTCCTTTATAATACCACTGCCAAAAAAAAAAGCATTGTTTCTAGGAATGTTTCAAGAAAAAATTCAGTTAAATGATGACAATAATTGAAATTTCTGTTTTCCAAACTACACAATTCAGTTTAATTGTACAGTTGACCTGAACATTTTTCGGTTTAGACAGAAGTTTAGTTTATACAGGTTTAAAATTGAAATTGGTAAAACAAGTCTGGTACTGTGAGAAGGGTTCTGGTTTATTATTGGTTCAGTTGAAACATGTTTCATTATACCACAACTCCACATTATATCATAAACAGAAACTTGATCACATAAAAGGAAATCACACTACTGTGAAATCCCATGGTAAATTCGCTAATGCCAAATTGCAATGCGTCTGCTTCATGCAGTTGTATTATCTAGAAATTAAAAAAAAAGGATGATAATTAATTAATTATCTCTGCCGATTGGATAATTTGAAATAAGGGCCTTGTTCTGATTGGTTCCCTTCCCACATCTCACAAAGCAATTAGAGAGCGAGATGTCAAGAGTGGCCAGTAGGGAATTCCTTATATCATTGGTTGTTATTAATAGATATAAGCTGAACTAAAATACCCAATCGGCAATAAAGGACAGGTAATGCATGTGCGATGATACATGTCAACATGCTGTGTATTAATAATCCATTTTTCTTGTTAATAAAAATATAACATTAATCCACATCACTTTGAAACGGCCCCACCCATTTCCCTCCCCCCTGTGTATGTGTATAGTGTGTATGTGTATATATACTGTTGGAATCTAGACCAGTCTCAGATCAGATGCATGTTAATGTCTAACTCTGATCGGAATCCAGTCAGGAAACCTGTGAATCCAGATGGTTACTAGTGTAAAACAAAGACATGTTTGGGAAAAGAACCACAGTTTAATGCTTAAATTTCATATTAATAAAACACAAACAACAGTACAGTTTGAAAACAATACACAAATTAATTAATTAATAATCTGTGGTATTCCAAACTTCCCAAACATGTGTGGTGTAACCAGTAGAAGGTAGGTTAAATGGTTTATTATTTCCCCAGGGCAACTGCAAATTTGTTCATGACTTCCTGTCTGTGTGCAAAAGAAGGATCCAAGTATGATTTGTATGCATCAGATTTCCAATCACCCTGTGATTGTATGAGATCAGCTGGAACCCCACATTCTAAGGCAAAGGAGGCCCCTCCTCTGCGAAAACTATGTCCCGAATATTTGCTGCTGTCATAACCCAACCTAGATAAGTTCTGTTTTAGCATCTTTACAAAGGCTGTATATGTAAGAGGGGTAACCTTGCCTCGTACTAAATACAGGAAGACAGTTGAGGGGGCTGACACTGCTGGCACCTGTTTAAAATTTAAAAGAAGCGCCTTAGAGGGACATAAATGAGAATTCTTCACTCTAGGAAGGGGAATTTCTAATATACGCTCTGAAAATTGAATTGTTTTGGTTTTGCGTACTTTTAAATAGACGCCATCTGAGTGAAAATGGATTTACTCACGAGTAAAATGTCGCAAAGGAGCAAAAGCTGAAATTGAAGGGGCAAACAAATTTGACTTCCTTAAAAAGAAGAAAAAAGCCACTAAGCAGGCTGCCCAAAAACACAAGTCCTTACTACTGCTGACTGACAGTAAAGTAAATATCTCATTCAAAATTTTTGGTGTAATAGGCAATTTTCTTTGTATGGCAGCACCTAACACACGTTTAGCACCCTTGAGTACTGACTCCATAAAAAAGGAATCTATCGGAGATGCAACTCCTGATTCTAAATGTAGCAACCGCACAATTGACAAATAATTTGTTATGGAATTAAATTGTAACCTTGAAGATAAATAGGCTACATATCTGGCTATATTCATAGGACTTAATGGAACAAGGGTAATATTTAATCTTCTACAAAATTCTGCGTATGACTTGAAATAGTTTAAATATGTCTTTTTGGTAGATTCAGCATAAGTATGACATCTAAAGTTAGCAACAATACTATCCAGTGATCTCACCTCCCTCGATACCAGTGAGCCTAAATAAAAGAAAACGAAGGGCATTACTAGACATGTGCCTAACAAGATCCTGTAAATACAGTGGCGGTCGAACATAATCACGCAAAAATTGTTCACAGAAAGGTAGATCATGCATCTGTGAAATACAGTCTGCTAGTATATTCGTTTTGCCTGGAACATGCTTAGCTATCAAGTGAAAATTATACGTTGCTGATAACCAAAAGAGCTCACGCAAAAAGGACATGATGTACCTTTATTAATGCAACTTACAGTTACCGCATTATCGCAATAAACTATAATACGCTGACCACGCCAATATGGGGCCCATCGCTTTACTGTTAACGCCACTGAGAAAGCCTCTAATTCATTTATGTGAAGTTTCAAAGCAAAGGGGTGATCTTCTGCCCAATTTACATAAAACCAATCATTTTGATAGACACCTGATTTACGAGCATCAGTAGCTACAGAGGTGATAGGAACCTTTGCAAGTAAAATTGACTTCCCATTAAAAGTTGAAATAAAGTTATGCCACCACTTTATATCTTGCAATATTTCGCCTGTCAGACGCAATTTATGCCAATCTTGCTTTAATCGCATGATGCCGTTTATAATTCTACAGAGAAAAACTCTCCCGCCTCCAACCACAGCAGACGCCCAATTAAGCTTTCCCGCTAAAGATTGCAATTGCTTTTTTTGAAGCACGCTTACGCAATAAAAATTCAGCTAATTCTGATTTCAATTCATGCAATTTTGCAATAGGAAGTCTAGTTTCTCAAGTAGTAGAATCTATTTCAACACCTAAAAATACAATCTGTTGGCAGGGGTCTGTTACTTTAGACCAGCTGATACAAAAACCTAACTTCTTGAGCAGCGCAATTAAAATTGTTAACGCCTGAGCGCAGCGCTTCTTTGTCTTCTCGCAAATAAAAAAATCATCTAAATAATATGCCACAATGGTGAAGCCTCTACATGTCATCATTCTGCGAATTGCCTGAGATAATCTATGAAAAATACCAGGTGCTAATTTTGATCCAAACGGAAGTTTTTTATCTATGAAAGTGTAATCATGACCATCAGGAAAAGTCCATGTAAGCCCAGTGACCTCTCTACTTTGTTCACTTATTTTGACAGATCTGTAAGGGGCCTTTAGGTCCACTTTTGACATAAAAAATTTTTTTGAAACTAACTTGCATGCATCATCTACTGTTTGAAATTTTTGTTTATCAAATTCTCCTGCAAAATCATTTACTGCAAAACCTATTGGTCTGCTACAATCATGAATAATTCGAAGATTTAGGGATAACCCCAAGCTGACTGATAATTTTGGGGGGGGAATTGACAAAAATATAGTTTCCGTTATCAATTTCTGTTAAAATTTGTTTATGTGCCTCTTTGTAAAAAGGGCTACTAGGCTTTGCAGAAGGATGATTTTTGGAGCGTACATTCTCTGGTAGGGGGACATTAGTGACAATGTCAAATCCATGTTCTATGCCAAATAACAAAAATTCTTTGTCAAAATCATCACTTAACTCATTAGTCCATGAAATTAGATCAAGAGCACGCGTAGGCTTCACCATTGTATCTAGTTTTTTGTATGCTGAAATGCTGGGTGCTTTTCAGCACATGCAGGTATAGCACATAAATGCTCAAACTTACAGTGTGGCATAAAACAGCCTCTACGACTATTGAATTTCTTGCAAATCATCCTTCCCCCCAGAGAATGAGAAGCATATGTAACTGCATGTTTATTAGCAATTACTTTCGAGCTCTGAGTTTGAGGTGAAATGCGGGAATTCTGCCTCTGCAAAAACTTTGGCCTCAAAAATACAGAATGGAGATGGGGAATGTCTGTACCACATCTAAATTGGTGTTGCTTTTGCAGGCGTCGGTATTCCCGATCAAGGAAAAAAACAGACACCAACTCACAGCTCGAAAGAAAAAGATAAATGCGCATAGTATAAGATAAATAATCCATAACTTGGGATGATTGTAACTCTCCTATAGCTATCAACTTATGCATTATGGACAAATTAGCCATAGACCATTGTGTTACCGACAATGTTTCTAATTTTGGCTTGACAGGCCCCGATTTGAAAACTAATTTGCCCCCTGACAATTCCGAAACTAATTCCTCTGATTCTGAGTGCCCCCCTCGAAGTATTAGGTACAAAATCAGTTATATCAAAGAAATTCACATTAGGATCAAAATTTGTAGACTTTAAAAATATTTGAAGGTCTTTCCATGAGTAAATGTCATTGACCAGCAAATTGTCTCTACCTGTGGAAGAATTATGAGAGTCATTCACAAATTGTCCTGTAATGTTCCTCTCCCTCGACATCATCTTTAGGATCTCTTGCACATAGGCATCCTCCGATCGGGGGTTTGATGTATGGGTGCCGCCATCTTTGTTGTTTACATCGTCGCCAACTTTGTTGTTTACACCGTCGCCATATTGGTTGCTGGTGCCGCCATTTTGTATCCTAGCGGAAGTTCTCTGTGTAGCCTCGTTTTCATTTCCGTAAGGGTGCGTGTCCGCCATATTCCCAGCTTCAGCGCGACCGTCCTTGAAAGTTTTTCCATCTGCTCGCATCAACACTTTTTGCTGCCCAAGCGGAATATTAAAAGCTGGCATATCCTCTTTTTCAATCAATGAAATTGCTTCAATAGAATCGAAGCCAAGTCTAATTAATTCGGAAGCTGTGTTTGGATTCAGCTTCATTGTGGATGCCCACATCTGTACCTGCTCGACATTACGTGGAAAATCTACTTCGCCTTCACTGTCACTCGCCATATCGCCTATAGTCGCAACTATACTATTTGGTACAAATGTTATAAAAGTTTAAAGCAACGCATTTCTGACTCAGATAATTCTGTTGCCGGAGCGTGCAGGATAAAAACTACAAAAGTCTACAGGGAAACACAATAAATTCCATCACCAGAACACGGTATGCAAGGATTACACACGTCAACAGCAGATCTCAACAAATTCCATCGCTGGAATGTGCACAAAAGTCTACAGTGTATCACTGTTAAATATCATTCTCGGGAATTCAGCTACTCAGACAAAAGTTCTCTATACTTTCACTGGTTTTAACAACGTTGCCGAAATATCCATTTCCAAGGATTTAAACCAATTTTTCCCGTAAAATTTATTGATGTTTAAAGACAATATATATATATATATATATATTTTAAATTCACTAATGCCAAATTGCAATGCGTCTGCTTCATGCAGTTGTATTATCTAGAATGCCTAAATGAGGCACGCAGTAATTAAAACAAAAGGATGATAATTAATTAATTATCTCTGCCGATTGGATAATTTGAAATAAGGGCCTTGTTCTGATTGGTTCCCTTCCCACATCTCACAAAGCAATTAGAGAGCGAGATGTCAAGAGTGGCCAGTAGGGAATTCCTTATATCATTGGTTGTTATTAATAGATATAAGCTGAACTAAAATACCCAATCGGCAATAAAGGACAGGTAATGCATGTGCGATGATACATGTCAACATGCTGTGTATTAATAATCCATTTTTCTTGTTAATAAAAATATCACATTATACCACAACTCCACATTATATCATAAACAGAAACTTGATCACATAAAAGGAAATCACACTACTGTGAAATCCCATGGTTTTATTGGTTCACATAAAAGGAAATCACACTACTGTGAAATCCCATGGTTTTATTGGTAATTATTAACGGGTAATACAGGGAAGAACCTTAGTGCCATTGTTGTAAAATTAAGGGCTTTGTTAACAACTATTAAGTGAAATAAAATATCTGAAGTTGAAAAAAAAGAAAAAGATAACCAGTTACATGAATTCAAAGCAAATGTGTCAATTAATACAAAAAAGAATTTATATTTCCAAAGAGTCTAAATGCATAGCAACCAGAAATAAAAGGTGTATATTAAAGGCAACAAGATATTAGGAGAGATACAACAATAAAACATATAGGAATTAGTAATAGATAGTAGATACATTTTTGAGACACTTGTTAAGGCGTCAAATGCTGTTATTGGTATAAATTCTATGTTGTTTGTCTCCATGTGGAAACTTCCTGCAATCGATGAGCTGTTGGCAAAGATGGACCCATGTAAAGTCTTTAAACCATTTCCATTCAAGAACCTAAAAATTAAAAAAAAATCAACAACTCTATCAGTCAATATTTTTTAAATTGTTGTCATCGTCATAATATTTTTGTAGTACCTATTAATCCAAGCAAACTCAAGAGTTATATAAAAAATTTACTTAAATCTGACATTTTAATTCTTGTAAAGAATAGAAAACAACAAATTTTGAAACACCAAAAGGGAGCTTCCTTTTATCAATCCAAGCAATATTCTGAAGTTTCAAGTTAATCAACAAGGCATACTTGTAATAGAGTGTGATATGTGTAAAAATTGATAAAATTCAAAAGGTTCAATAACTCTAGAACAAAATAAAAAAACTTTAAATCAAAAAGAAGCTTCCTTTTATCAATGGAAACAATAATTTTTGAGGAAATCAACAGAGGCAAAGTTAGTGCCTTATGAAGAATTACCTTAATTTAAACAGTTTAAGTCCCATCAATCTAAAACAACAAAGCAAAAAGTTATCAAAATCTATAATGATTTTTTTTCAGACATGAGAATTGGTAAAAGCAAATTTGGGTTATTGTACGAAGTGTTGACTGATGGAAGGACATTGGTATACAATAGCATGTCTTGTCATAGACAGCGGTAAAAAAAATAAAATAACTTGTGATTAAATAAATGAAATTTTGTTTTGGCTGACATATTGCATGCAGTTTTAGGACAGATTAATTTACACTATTTGATATGAACTATTTAATAGTAAAGTCTATCTCATGAGGACAAAGTATCCCAAACAGAGCTACGTTGTTATGAACCTTTCAAAGATTTAAACATGGATAAATAATCTTCCATTAACCAAATCTAATAAAAGAACAGAGTTCCAAGGTCCAAAGGCATACTATAGGACAATAACTAAAAAAACATATTTTTGTTGTTTTATAAGACTTTTTATCAATATCTTTAAGAAATGAGGGCTTCAGTGATTCCCATTATAATATAAACAAGGGGCATAACTCTTTTAAAAATAAAATGCTCCACTGGGCGCAGCTTAATACGACCGCAGAGGTCCAACCCTGAACAGTTGGGGCAAGTATGGACACAACATTCAAGCTTGATACAGCACTGAATTTGGATTGTGATTAAATATTTGACACAGCATAGGTTTCTGACACAGAATGAATGTGGTCTAAGAACTTAAAAAATTTTAATTTACCTATTTAAACCATATCATTATTATTTGCTATTATATATAAATCAGAAATAACCAATTTAAAATGGAAAATTTTAAAGAAAAAAAAGGGGAAAAAAATCCCCCCTCAAATTTTTTGAACCCCCTTATGATTCATCACCCCCAAACTCAATCCCAGCCTTCCCTTTGTGTTACAATGTATGGTGCCTTGCAGTACAATTTCAGAGAGATCCGTACACTTGAACACAAGTTATTGTCTGGAAACTAGAAAAATGCTTGTTTTTTTGTCCCTTTTTGGCCCCAAATTCCTAAACGTTTAGGGCAATTACCCCCAAACTCAAACCCAGCTTTCCCTTTGTGATATGGAACCTTGTTGTACAATTTCATAAAGATCCATACACTTACACACAAGTAATTGTCCTGAAACTAGAAAAATGCTTGTTTTTTGCCCCTTTTTTGCCCCTTATTCCTAAACGTTTTGGGCAATTACCCTCAAACTTAATTCCAGCTTTTTCTTTGTGATATGGAACCTTGTAGTACAATTTCAGAAAGATCCATACACTCACACACAAGTTATTGTCATGAAACTAGAAAAATGCTTATTTTTTGCCCCTTTTTTCGCCCCTAATTCCTAAAATTTTGAGGCAATTACCCCCAAAATCAATCCCAGCATTCCCTTTGTGATATGGAACATTGTGGTACAATGTCAGAGAGATCCATACACTAACACACAAGTTATGTCTTGAAGTTACAAAAATGCTTGTTTTTGGCCCCTTTTTGGCCCCTAATTCCTTAACTGTTGGTACCATAACCCCCAAAATCAATCCCAACCTTCCTTTTGTGGTATTGAACCTTGTGATAAAATTTCATAGAGATCCATTCACTTAAACTAAAGTTAGAGTGCGAAAACAAATGTGTCTTCGGACGACAACGACGCCAACATCATACCAATATACGACCACAAAAAATTTTTTGTGGTCGTATAATAATTGATCAGCACTGATTTTTCAACCTCGGTGATATAAACCTATAATTTATATTTCATAAAAATCTGGCAAGAATTGTACAGGCTCATAAGGCAATTTTCAATTTAATTAATAATTCCAAGGTGCATAACTCTTTCAAAAGTTTTTGATCAGCACTGATTTTCGAAACTCGTCAAAGTCATTGCTTATATAAACCTATAATTCAAATTTAATAAATTGCATGTTCATATTCTTTCTTTACTTTTTTCAAATTATTCTTTCAAACATCATTCCCGGTTGGGCATTGTAATAGAAATAAGACAATAGTATTATGGTAGTAATGTATCTTTGAATTCTTTTCATCAGCCATGCTTGTTATCTAAGGCTGTATGAGAACCTTCCTCCAGATGAATAATCATCTGCCATGATCACGATTTGTACAATTATGATCTTCCAAACAAATTTAAAATTTAGTATGTTTTCAATGCAGTCCATATACTGCATTGAACAACGATTTTGATTGGCTGATCAAATACAGCCCAATAATAAAGAGAAACAATGATTTCGATTGGCTGATAAGGAATGTCTACCAAAGAAAAAGTCCAAAATCAGACAATACTTTGTTCGTGTTCAAATTTACAATATCGGCCAAGACATATTAAAAGAGTACAGTGTGTCAATCGAGAAAGCTACGAAAATGATCAAATTGGTCAATGTAAAAAACTGTCAATGTAAGAGAGATCTATTTTAAAACAATCAAATGAAAAGATGAAGGGTCATAACGACATATGACATTGTCTCAAGATCTTGTTTTTTACATTACTGTAACGTGCTAACGATAATTTTATGAATGAATGCAGATTTTATGAAGGAACAAGAGCATCTTGACCTCTTCTAATCAAGATACAAGAATTAAAAAAAACATTAAATCACTGTATAAGGTATAATTCAGTCAAGTTTTCAATATTAAATTAACAACTGACATTTTTCAATATTTTGATGAAATGTCTTGAGAAGGAAATCGCAGGTATAAAAATGCACTTTCTCACTGGGCCTTCTACATACATGTGATGGACTGTGAAACTCAGATCAGGAGATTGGGAAATTTTGGTCAGGAGATTAGGACTCAGATCAGGAGGTTTTTTATCGACATAAATTTTGTCGTAAATGTAACCGTGTGATGTAGAAACATACCTGTCACCCTATGACAATGAAATTGCAGGTGATGACCTGCATAGAAGAATGAAATCTCAGGTCATTTTTCGAGCTGAATTTCAGAATTTAGGGGACATTTTTCTTATAATTTATATCAAAGTTTCCAAAACATATCCACATGGTTAAGGAATTTAAAATTGTACATATTATTATTTCATTGCACTTGAAGGCCATTGATAGATTTATGTTATGTTGCCTTAATTCATTTTCATTTTCATTCCAATGTTTTCATTGCATACATTTGTGCAGATTTAATCATATAAACATATCAGATGTTGATATTCGAATATAATAAGATAAAGTTAAACAATTAAAAGAGGTATAGATGAAAAAAGTAATTTTCAAAATTTTTATTTTTTAATTGTTCTAAGCCTAAGGTAGAAAAATAAGTAAAAGTATTATTCTGATATGTTTTTGCATTCAATTCATTTCAGATTTAATCTTTTTACAAAAAACACATAAGTTTAAGGAGAATATTGTGAGATGACAAAAAAGGGGAAGTAACTCAAGTTGTTTTTAAAACAACTTTGAAATACACAAATTATTTACTACCTAAAGCTAAGGTAATTGGTGTTAATTACCAGTGTGTTTGACACCAAAGCTGTCAAGTGAAGCCATGCACTGAAATGGGTCATTTGATTTGAGTTTACACAGGTAGTTGAAGTTCTTGTCCAGGAAGAATTACGAATTTACTGATATTTCAAAGGAAAATCATTTATGAAATTATCAGTCTGAAAGCTTAGTGAATCCGGGTGAAAACGGGTTATTTTTTCGAATTCCCGGGTTATTTGGTCACCCAGGGGGTGTCCCGGGTGACCTCTCAGAATTGTGAAAATCTCGGGTCACACCCGCAGGATCCAGGTCAGTTGACAGGTATGTAGAAATTGTCTTTTAAAGTGTTTTTTCTTCAACTTTCCATCTGTATGTAATATGTTTATAGCACCCTTGTACTTGTAAATTTTCTTTATTTTTATTAGATCAAATGATCTTCTTTATACTTCAGAAAATTCTTTAATTTCTTTATCTTTATAAATCTTAATTCAACAACTCATTCACTGCAAAAAGATTAATCTTATCTTATCTTTTCATTTAATACAAAATTCTATAAAAAAATCTTTCATTTCCTGTACTCTCATATTAACTCACATATGGAAGTTTTTAACTTTGCACAGTCAGCCATGTAAACCAAGAAGGTCATACTTAATATATAAATTTTAATGTAAGCCTTAAAAAGAAGTATAGAACCAACAAATTGTTTCCAAATTATTATTTTTTTTTATTTGTCGAAAGACATTTCAAATCATTTAATTACCATCCTTTTATGATTGTTTGTTCAATTTATATTTCATTTATATTCTTTTAACAATTTACATTATTTAAAAAAAAGTAACTTAAAACAGGAAAATTCAAGGGAAGTAACCCAATATTTATTTTAATCATTTCTAAATACACAAAGTCTTTGTTACAAAACGGCATTTAGCCTGAGCTAAAAATCATTGATAACCAGTATGTTTAACACCTCATTCATGAAATTCTGTAGTGTGGTTTCAGAGGAGTTGCGATGACAAACTGTTGCAGTAGTACATTGAAGCAAATAAGTTCAAAGGGGCGTAACTCCTAGAAAAAAATTGAAACGTAATTTCCTGATGATATGCACAACTACATAGTATGTCCTTATTATCTAAAAAGGTTTCATGAAATTCTGTAGTGTGGTTTCAAAGGAGTTGCGATGACAAACTGTTGCAGTAGTACATTGAAGCAAAAAAGTTCAAAGGGGCGTAACTCCTAGAAAAAAAATTGAATCACAATTTCCTGTCGATATGCACAACTACATAGTATGTCCTTATTATCTAAAAAGGTTTCATGAGATTCTGTTGTGTGGTTTCAGAGAAGTTGCGATGACAAACTGTTGCAGTAGTACATTAAAGTAAATAAGTTCAAAGGGGCGTAACTCCTAGAAAAAAAATTGAATCACAATTTCCTGTCGATATGCACAACTACATAGTATGTCCTTATTATCTAAAAAGGTTTCGTGAAATTCTGTTGGGTGGTTTGAGAGGAATTGCGATGACAAGAAATAGGACTGACGGACAGACGGACTGACGAACGGACGGACGGGTCAAAAACATTATACCCTCCGCAACCCGTTGCGTGGGGTATAAAAATTATATCTGATATGCAACTTCCATTTTACTAATGACAATGTGGGACTATATAATTTATAGCTGGCAATACTCATATAACCATGTTTTGCCAACCCTGAAATATATATGTAATTTTGGACAATTAAAAATATTTATGAATATTTTCTTACCTGTGAGTTTGATCTCAGATTTTGATTTAATGTGGTCCTATCTATAAGATATCTAAAGAAGATGTGGTATGATTGCCAATGAGACAACTCTCCACAAGAGACCAAAATGACACAGAAATTAACAACTATAGGTCACCGTACGGCCTTCAACAATGAGCAAAGCCCATACCGCATAGTCAGCTATAAAAGGCCCCGAAATGACAATGTAAAACAATTCAAACGAGAAAACTAACGGCCTTATTTATATATAAAAAAAAATGAACTATCTAGTTTACTTACAAATCTTCTGTTAAAATAACATTATCAAAAGCATTTTCTTCAATGTATTCTATCTGGTTATTTTGCAATAGTAAATCTTTAGCATTGACATTGACAAAGGCAGAAGCTGGCACATGACTTATTTCCATATCATTTATATTCCTGGAAAAAAGAGGTACCTCTATGCATTATGATCACTCCATTTGTTGAGTTTTTAGGTTTATGTGAGTGTATAAGATATATAAATTTATTGCAAATTGTAATCTTTAATATACACATTTTATTCCAATAATATGTAAAAAGTAGAATCACAAAAATACAGAACTTCTAGGAAAATTCAAAACGGAAAGTCCCTATCAAATGGCAAAATCAAAAGCTCAAACACATCAAACAAATGGATAACAACTCTCAAATTCCTGACTTGGTACAGGCATTTTCTTATATAGAAAATACAACAAATGGAAGTTTTTAACCACCTTCACTGGCCATACAGCCCTTGCATGGTCGGTTATAGAAAATGGTGGATCAATCCTGGTTTTATAGCTAGCTAAACCTCTCACTTGTATGACAGTCTCATTAAATTCCATTAACCGGTATATTGACAACAATGTGCAAACAAAACAAACAGGCATAATAGGTAAAAAAATGTGTAGGGTTCTGCGGAACCCAGTGTCTCGCCTACGTTTGCTGTTAATTGCAGACTCAACAAAAAATAGAGGCTCTAAAGACCCTGTGTCGCTCACCTTGGTCTATGATAATGTGCATATTAAACAAAGGACACAGATGGATTCATGACAAAATTGTGTTTTGGTGATGGTGATGTGTTTGTTCATCTTCATTTACTGAATGTTCTTGCTGCTTACAATTATTTCTATCTATAATTAACTTGGCCCAGTAGTTACTGTGGAAAATATTTTGTAAAAATTTACAAAAATTTACAAAAATTATGAAAATTGTTAAAATGTACTATAAAGGGCAATAACTCCTTAAGGGGTCAATTGACCATTTTGGTCATGTTGACTTATTTGTCGATCTTACTTTGCTGAACATTATTGCTGTTTACACTTAATCTCTATCTATAATAATATTCAAGATAATAACCAAAAACGGCAAAATTTCCTCAAAATTACCAAATTCAGGGGCAGCAACCCAACAACGGGTTGTAAGATTCATCTGAAAATTTCAGGGCAGATAGAAATTGACCTGATAAACATTTTATCACATGTCAGATTTTCTCTAAATGCTTTGGTTTCAGAGATATAAGCAAAAATCTACATTTTACCCCTATGTTCTAATTTTAGCCATGGCGGCCATCTTGGTTGGTTGGCTGGGTCACCAAACACATTTTTTAAACTAAATACTCCAATGATGATTGTGGCCAAGTTTGGTGAAATTTGGTTTTTTGTAAAAGTTAACGACGACGGATGACGCAACGGAAAACAGACGCCAAGTGATGAGAAAAGCTCACTTGGCCCTTTGGGAGCAATTACCCCCAAACTCAATCCCAGCCTTTCCTTTATAGTATTGAACGCTGCAGTATAATTTTAGAGAGATCCATACACTTTCACACCAGTTATTGTCTGGAAACTACAAAAATGCTTGTTTTTGGCCCTTAATTCATAAACTGTTCGCACCATAACCCCCAAAATAAATCCCAACCTGCTACTTGTGGTATTAAACATTGTGGTACAATTTCAGAGTAATTGAAATACTTAAACACAAGTTATTATCCTGAAACTATAAAAATGCTTGTTTTGGGCACCTTTTGGGCCCCTTATTCCTACACGGTAGGGACCATCATCCCCAAAATCAATCCCAACCTTCCTTTTGTGGTTTGGAACCTTCTAAAAAAATTTCATACAGATCCATTCACTTAAACTTGTTATTGTCTGAAAACCAAATGTGTCTTCGGACGACGCAGATGACGACAACACCATAGCATTCTACGAACCCCCAAAATTTTTTGCAGTCATATAAAAATGAAAGACAAGAATACAAAACCTATCATAGAACAATAACACAATGATGGGAGGTATAAGTACAGAGCCACTTCATATATATCAAAGAAACACAAGAAGGCATATAGACAAAGCACATAAGCAAAAATGAAAGACAAGAATACACAAATTATCATAGAACAATAACACAGTGACGGGATAAATAAGTACACAGTCATGTCTAATAGATATCACCATATAAATGATCTTTATTGACATATGACATACATGCTGAATTTTCTCTTATTCTGAACCAATTTAAACATTCCGAGACCAATTCCAATAACCTGGCCTATTCAGTCATGTGAGCTATGTCATTTGGTTGCTGGTGGAAAGTTGTCTTATTGGCAATTATACCACATCTTCTTATTTTTATATAACAGTCAAAATACTTACAAGTTATTGGCTAAAGTTATACCAACAAAAGACCTGGATTCTAAAGTCTTCATTGGATTATCAGTTAAAGTTATATGATCATAGTTGATATTGTCAAAGGCATCACTATAAATCACTGAAATCTGGTTATGAGATAGATCTCTACAAAAAATGACAAGAGTAAAATTATCAATTAAATGTTGATTTGTTGTCCTTGCATGGAATTTGCTATTAAAGATTTGTTGTTAAACTTAAATTAACATATAACTACATGATATGGAATATTTTTATGTCAGAATTATGATATAAAAAAAAAAAACACATAATAATATTAAGAATCAAAAAGAGACACATAATAATATTAAGAATCATGCACACAAAATTCACTAGAATGCATAGCTGAAATCTAAAATACATGTTCAGATTCAGCATATCAATGAACCCCAAGAATTCAATTTTTGTTAAAATCAAACTAAGTTTTATTTTGGACCCTTTGGACCTTAATGTAGACCAATTTGAAAACGGGACCCAAAATTAAAAATCTAAATACACGGTTAGATTCGGCATATCAAAGAACCTCAATAATTCAATTTTTGATGAAATCCCTTTGGACCTCGTGTGGACCAATTTAAAAACGTGGACCAAATTCCAAAAACTTAATACACGGTTAGATTCAGCATATTAAAGAACACCAAGAATTCAAGAATAAAACCCCATTGAAATTGGTCAAGAAATAAGCAATTTATACAAAGTATTAGAAAAGTATTGTTTTTGACCCCTTTTGGGCCCTAATTCCTTAACAGTTTGGGCCATAACCCCCAAAATCAATCCCAACCTTCCTTTTTTGAAATGGAACCTTGTGGTACAATTTCAGAAAGATCCATACACTTACACACAAGTTATTGCCTGGAAACTAGAAAAATACTTATTTTGACCCCTTTTGGGCCCTTTGTTCCTAAACTGTTGGAACCATAACCCCCAAAATCAATCCCAACCTTCCTTTCGTGGCTTCAAACCTTGTGTTTAAATTTCATAGAGATCCCATCACTTAAACTAAAGTTATTGACCGGAAACTAAGTGTCTTCGGACGATTCTGACGACTCTGACGACAACAACTACAGACAACGACCAATATGCGAATGCAAAATTTTTTGCCGGTCGTATAAAAACAGCTACCTCCTTGCAAAAATCTTTTAACATTAAGAACCTGCCGTAGTAAGTCTCTGTCCTTAATTCCAACTTGCTGAAATATGTGTTCATTTACAAAAACCTCAAGCACAAATAATGAGTTCCTATTACATTTAATTAAAGCAATATTCTAATTATCCTGATTTGCTTCAGAACTCTCAATTTGAACTCATGATATGTAAAATTAAGCATCTAGTACTCATATCGACAAAATGGTCTCCCAACCCTCCTATAGCGGTATGGAACCATGAGCTAAAATTTCATACAGATCCATACACTTATAAGTTATTGTCTGTGAACCAATTTATTTTCTTGAGTTTTACTTGACCTAAGTTATGGATTCAGGACTTGCTCATTCATACAAACAGAGCATTATTTACCTGAAATTATATCTGTTGAAATAAAGGTTGATGTGATCATTAAACATTTCATTTAATCAATGTGTCCATAGTACATGGATGCCCCACTTGCACAATCATTTTCTATGTTCAATGGACTGTTAATTTGGGGTCAAACTCTTATTTGGCATTAAAATTAGAAATATCATATCATAGGGAACACATGTAATAAGTTTCAAGTTGATTGGGCTTCAACTTCATCAAAAACTTACTTGACAAAATATATCAAAATTATAGAAAAGACTTTCAGCTCTAAAAGGAGTATTGGCAGACTTACACAACTATCAAAATATATTTAGACAACCTACAACTACATATATTATATTAATTGATATTATGAGACCACATAAAAAAAATAATGTGAGACTTCAAGAAATCTGCAATATGAGACAAGGCATCATTATCCATAAATAAAAAAACTTGGTACCTGTATTTGTTAATAACTTACAAGGAATATCCGTTCATGTTTGCAAAAGTATTAGATTTGATTTCTGTAATTCTGTTGTTGCTTGCACTGAAGTAGTATGCTCCCAGGTCAGAGAAGTCTCCAAGGGATGGCAGCTGTGTTAGTTTGTTATTATAAAAGTAACTGAAATAGTAAACAGAAAATATTAAGATGGCAATATTCAAACACGTAATAAACTCATCATAGATACCAGGATTGAAATTTTGTATTTGCGACAGATGCGTGTTTCGTCTACAAAAGCCTCATCAGTGACGCTCGATTAAAAAAAAGTTCAGGATTTTGTTTTCAATATCTTCTGCTTACGCTAGGTTGAGTATCTGCTCATTAAAGTTGTTCAGTATTTTTTGCTTCTGAAGTAGGTTGTCAAACGTTGTGGTCAATTAGAAGCTTCTAGATCAAAATCTGTATCCTGTTTTGCTGAATCTATCTTTCGAATAAGTTTGGTAACAGCACTTCTTTTCCTGGATCGTATCAACTTGAGCTTGTTTAAATCCTGGTCATGGCACTATAAATGTGGAGGTCAAAAGTATGATATTTACACTAATATAAACAAACATGTCTGTTCAGCCATAACTTTTAATAACAACTCATAAGAGTAAAAGATAAAATTATCACATTTGATTTCTGACTTCTGGGTAACAAAATTTATTTCAGATTTGTTTCTTGTGAAAAGTAAAATGTTAAATAAAGTCCTGTTTGCCATGCTCTGTGGTCTGTTTACTAATGTTATAAATCATAGTAGTGCCTTGATATCATGGCTTCCAAAATGGTCATAAATTCAGGACATTTGTATTTTTACCGGACATTGTCTGCCGGGGCAAAGCATGAAACAATCATCTACTTTTTAGTTTTCAAGGCTTTCTTAAGAGACGGTCATTTTAACATAATTCGCAATATTTTTGACCCAACATATTGCCTTTAACAGCCACATATTTATGTCATAAAAGTGAAATGATCATTAAGTACTATCAAAACAACCCTTTCTTTAATACCTTATCATTTCAATCAAGGCTAATTAGTTGTCGAACAGCTGAAATTTACCTGTTCAGGTAACAGGTAAACTATTTTGAACCACACATTTATATCAGTCTTTACAAAGTTATTTTCTTACATTTCAGCTGTTTGCATCTAATTTATTTAGTCAAAAAGATTAAAATTATCAGAAATACGTTTACAAATATAATTTGATGAGAAAATTAAAAAGATGTAAATGAAAAATCGTCAAAATCACGTTGTTTGAACTAGTACATAGAACACAGTGCGCATGTGCACAGGTGTGAAATTTAATTATGCATCCTAATTTCTTCAAAAATGCTTAAATTGTCATCGATACCTTTATTTCTCGTTTATTTTTCGAATATTTTCTGGAAGAAAAATGTAGAAAGCGCTTGCACTCAATCATGCTTTGCAAACTAAACGGAATTTACGTATCCATTTCTGGTCCATGTTTTATCATTGTCAAGATAACATCCGGTACTAGGAAATTTTCTTTTTAAACGAAAGTAAATTTTTTGACAACGTTATTGTGCACAAATAAAATTAAGGCAGATATTAGTACGCTGATGTTGCACACTTCTAATGATGCATTCCCAATTCCACAGTTTACATCAGAACTTGGAATTTGTATCAAAGAAAGTTTAATATCGGGTTTTTTAATGTCAATCATTGGGATGGCCAACTGGTTACCATAGTTGCCTTTTGTTACTTAGTCTTAATGGACTAAAATCGGGATAAGATATAAAATGTCCGGCTGGCTAAAAATAATTTTGAAAGCCCTGCTTGATATACATGATACTGGTACGCTTAAATATTTCAGAAATGAAGGGTTCCTACTCCCTGTTTTCTTTGAATACAATTGTCATTATGTTATATTCTTTGTTAATCCAGTCTGGTTCAGACATGAAACTTTATTTATATATGTTTATTTTGCCAATAGATATAGGAAGATGTGGTATGAGTGTCAATGAGACAACTCTCCATCATGGTAACAATTTATAAAAGTAAACCATTATAGGTCAAGGTATGGCCTTCAACAAGGAGCCTTGGCTCACACCGAACAGCAAGCTATAAAGGGCCCCAAAAATACTAGTGTAAAACCATTCAAACAGGAAACCCAACGGTCTAATCTATATAACAAGAGGCTCTCAAGAGCCTGAATCGCTCACCTGTATTTCAGAGGAGAAGATTTTTAAATGTTAGCAAACTCGATGAACAAATTGTGTAAAATTGTCTTTTAGGGCAATAACTCCTTAAGGGGTCAATTGACAATTATGATCATATTAACTTTTTTGTAGATCTTACTTTGCTGAAAATAATTGCTGCTTACAGTTTATATATATATCTATAATAATATTCAAAATAATAACAAAAAACTGCAAAATTTTGTTAAAACTACAAATTCGGTGGCAGCAACCAAACAATGGGTTGTTCCATTCGTCTGAAAATTTCAGAACTGATAGATCTTGACCAATTGAACAAATTTACCCCTGTCAGATTTGCTCTAAAAGCTTTAGTTTTTGACATACGAGCCAAAAACTGCATTTGACCCCTATGTTCTATTTTTAGCCATGGCGGCAATGTTTGTCGATGGATCAAAACTTCGGATACACTTTATAAACTAGATACCCTAAGGAACATTTAGTTAAAGTTTGAAGGTATTTGGCCCAGTAGTTTCAGAGAAGAAGATTTTTTAAATAGTTTACGACGACAGACGACGACAGACAATAGTATAACATCACAACATAGAAAAACACACTATAAAATATCAATTGGAAGGCGTAACTCAATCAAAAAACGTAGTATGATACTCCTAAGTAGTATTTTTCTTGAACACAAATATATGTGGAAGAAATTTTGTCAGTTCAAATTTCAATTTCTTCGCTTGTTGTTACGTCACAGTACCCAAATTGCACAGAGTAATTAAATTGAACCTATTTAGCAAAAAATAACAGCAAAAATCTTACAAGTTTTAATAGGGACTAAACAATTTGTAATTTTTTATTTGACATTATGCACGTCTTTTAAATTGGTAAATATAATCAAATATTCACATAATGTTCACAGTGCTTTATCAACATCTGAAGTAGTCACTGGAAAAAGTACGGAAATGTCACCACATGACATCCACAAAAAGTCATCTTTTAGAAATGAGCAAATAAAATATAATACAAGCATTCATCTCTTAAGAAGTGTAAAGAAATATTACAAAACATCTATTATTCAAATTTTAAGGATGTGAATTTAAGAATGGATGCAATGTGGGTACTCCTCATTACAGAATCATGGACGGTTTGGTGGTGGGTTCAAACCTATTTTTCTGATTCAATATGGCAGGGGTTCAAATTAACATTTGGTACTGGAAGGTCCAGGACCTTTGACTCTCCAAACTGAAAGGTCCACAACCTAAATTCCAGATCCTACTTTTACTTAAAATATTTCATAACTCAGTAAGATACAAAATTAATGTGCTTTTGGTATTAGGTTAGCTTTGTCAGTTTCACGGTTGTTCATGATAAATGTAATTTTCTTGTATACTATGAATTCAAGTAAACTTTTTTTTTTTTTGGTATTGGGGAGGGTGTAACTGTGGGTGGGTGTGTTGTCTCAACGATTGGTAATTAATTACTAATTATGCCATGATTATCTCAGGGCTTGCACTACTTCAGCTCAATTTTAAAAGTCCACTAGAGCATTTGCTTACATTGTATCATATCTAGTTGCACTATTTGTGAAAATAAAGTAAGAAACTTCTAGCTATTTATAACTGGTCCTTCAAAATTGAGAAAAAAATTACCCCTTGAAATTGCAGTAACATGTTTACACTTTCAAAACATCTACATGCATTATCAACATTTATTACTGATAAAGAAAATTACTGTCACATTGTATTGGATTTTGACATTAAAATTTGTCAAAAAGTTTTTGAGTTTCTGTATAAAATATTTTCTGATTTTTCTTTCTTTTCCATATATCTTTTGGTTTTCAATTCTAGTGTTTATATTACATAATCATAGATGTATTTTGTCACCTGCCTGGAATTATTATTTTTTTATGTATTTGATCGCCAAAACCCGTAATTACCCTTATCCGCTTCCGGAATCAGATCGATATTGTAATTGTCTTCTTTTCCGGCATCCATTGTTTTTCAATGTTGTTTTTGTCAGTCAGATACAATTTTACTCGAATTTACTCATTACTTGTCGGCGATTTTCGGAATAAAGCTAGCTGTTCAACAAAATGAACATCACTGTCATGAATAATAAAGATGAAAATAAGTTTTGAGATCGTTTATTTGGAAATTTTGGTAAAAAGGTTTGCAAAGATAATTTTTATTTTCAAATCGAAGGTCTGTCGGGCGTAGCTAGTAACCAAGACGAAAGTTTGATTGCAAAAGTGGAAGGTCGCGGACCTCGGACCACCGCTAATTTGAACCCCTGTATGGATTCAAAATTAAATTGGTGTAAGTACATTATAAGTAAATAATGATACATCTACAAAATAAACACCGAATGAAAACTTTTGTCTGGATCATAAATAAACGTCAGTGAAATAACTGTCAAAATTGGTGCAATTGGGTATCCTCACATTATCTGTGTTGCAGTTGTACATCAGGAGTCATAGTATTAGCCTTATGAAGAATACTTATGTTGACAAACTATGTGCCTTTTTGGTTTTTTCCCATCTAAAAGGCTATGGTATTAATAAATGAAGTTTGTCTCGTCTCTAAGAGGGATTTGATTATATTAAAAGGTTTTATAGGACAAGACACACTGAGTACTGGATGAATTCATTTCTGATTCAGATATTCTTAACTGTAAAAAAATAGGCCGTCTAATGCCAATATAAATGAAATATTCACATTCAACCCTGGACGCCCTTTGAAAATTATCCTTATCCAATGCATCCCGTGGATGCTTGGATAATAGGCCATTCTCTATGTAAACTAGACTTACAAATAATAAAGATTTGTGAAGTGATCAAATGTTCCATTCTCTATGTAGGCTAAATCATTGTTTGCAATGTTGAATTCATACATCAGTGGACTATCTTCAAACATTTTTTTTGTCAACCAACCAATGTTGTTTCCCTGTAAAGTCCTGAAAAATAAGGTATCTATATATATATAGTTGTATGCAGTTTCCTTTCCATCCAGATTTAAGTTCTGTTTTAATTTTCTGTACAACTTTAGTCTCTGTCATATTTTTGTTAATTTAAGATAAGGCCAACCTTAAAAATATGTTTGTTTGCAGTTTTCCGACTGTACCTTCAGACTGCAGGGTCGGTAGGTAGGAAAAATATTTTATTTTATCAGCCAGAATAAAGTTTAAACAAGCAGTTTAACACAAACCAAGTTTCTTGTTAAGAAAAAAACATTTCAAAACAACAAACACTGAAAACCAACATGAAATGAACAGGCATTTTCAGGTAAACACCTTTTTAACCAAAACTGAAACTTAACATGGTGTCATTATACAATTTATGACATAAATTTATGGTATTATGAAATACTGGAACACTTATAAACAAGGAATGACTAGAATTGTTGTAAAGAAACATATTCACTGACATATATGCATCTTTACTAGAATGTTTTCATGAGTAGAGTATTTGCATCAGAAAAATGTAGATATTAAAGATTCAAAAGACAATTTAGGAGTGTGTTAAAAAAAATCAACAATTGAATCTTCCTCAATTGAAAAAAAAGACAACTTAAAAAAAATATATTAGACATCGGACTGTTATAAAGGTTATATTTGGAAAGATATGTTGATGCCAGGCTTTAATTAAAACAAACAAAAATTTACAGACAAGCTTTGGGGTGAAATCAATAGCACCCCATTAAAAGTAAATGGTCTGTACTGAAATGTTTTGACTGCATAAAAAAATTGGCAGCATAGCTCCTAGCTAAGGACATATTTCAATTCAATTCACACAGTTTGGGTATAATTAATATTGTAAGAGAGAGAATAATTGCAATGAGTGGGACAGCCCCCCTTATCCTAAAGGAGCATACTCATTGCAATCGAAGATAGATTTGATACAGAGAGAATATATCTATTTCTCAAGCCAACCATTCATTTTCTCTACATCTTTGTGTAGTTTGTGTGGCTTCAAACATTTCAAATGCGTCCTTCCACCGTACAGGCGTGTTTACAGGTATCCATGAAGTCACGGAGGAATGGTTTCATCTTTGTCGTCTTCACAACGATTTAAAGAAAATATGGCATACTTCAGGCTGCTGTCGAATTGTTGAACCACTGAAATTGGTTTTTTAGAATTTTCACCACTTTCTAACACTGCCAAAAATTCTACATTCACAGTTAACTGAAGTACTTTCATTTTACTATTCAGAAATGAATTTGAATATGTATCATGACCGTTTACTTTTTTTGCTATCTTTAAGAACATAAGGCCACTAGTGCTTTTAGGTCTTTTATCGTGCAGTGAATACAAAATTCTCAAAAATTCTCAAAAATTCATTTTCATCTGTATGTAAAATTATTTCATATTTTTCTACACCTGATTCAGCCCTCAGTTTGGTAAAGTATGTTCAGTTGATACTGTATTTTTTGTCCAATCATAATGTTCAGATACATTGACTTAAGTAGGGTACACAAAAGAGCAACCTAAATTCTAGAATGCAAATACTACCGTGCTACCTGTAGACAATCTCCATGTGCTTTACCATTAAAGGGTCCGATGAGCGCTTGACAGGAAGGGAAGAAAACCAGGTCTTCAAACATGTAATCGACCTAGACTCGAAAATCAATTCCGGAAACGACCCGAAATTCCGGATCGGGTCAGTAGCAGTATTAAAAATAATTTCTTCAAATTAAAAGCAATAAAATGTTCACAGTCGGGCGGATTTTCGAAGGTCGGTCGGTAAACTGCAAACAAACAATATTTTAATTTAAGCCTAATGTACGGTAATTATTTTGGACCAAACCTTGCTCTTATTGTCCCTACTCCTTTGTTTTGAGCCTCTAAATGCCTGAATATAACAAGAGGCTCACCTGTAACAAGAGGCTCTCAAGAGATTGCTCACCTGTAATTTTTTGCTTAAAGATTTCAATGATTATTTTTGCTGTTCAATATATATTAATGAGTGGCTTAAAAATACCATTTAAATGTTCTTTGAATCTGTCACATTTTCCTCAAAAGCCAAAAAAAAATGCATTTTATCCCTAGTTCCATTTTAGACATAGTTGCTATGCTTCTTGATGCACAAGGAAATAAAATACAAAATTTATACTAGATACTCTAAAACTCATTCAGCAAACATTTGGCTGAAAATTATTGTACACCTGGTGAGCTAAAAAGATACATATACAATATATGATTAAAATGAATAATGAAAATACACAAAGATTTACAAGAAAAATAACTGTAAGCACTTTCAGCTGTTGTAATGGCTTCTTCAGATAGTTATTGCGAACCAAATGACAGTTTTCCACAGAGTCGTCTGCTCTTGGCCAAGGTATTTAAACTTTTGTCTATTCTATTGTCCTATTGAATAAATACAATAGCTATTGTTCTACACTATGTAATAATAACTAACAACTCTCTCAGATCCAAGGCTTCCAAAACGGTCATATATTCCGGACATTTGTAATGTCCGGTAAAAGTCCGGTTGGGCAAAGCACGAAACGGATATCTACTTTTTAGTTTTCAAGGCTTTCTTAAGAGACGGTCATTTTAACATAATTCGCGATCTTTTTGACCCAACCTTTTGACTTTAAAAGCCACACATTTCCGGTCATAAAAGTGACATGATCATTAAGTACTATCAAAACAACCCCTACTTTAATACCTTCTCATTTTAATCAAGGCTAATTAGTTGTCGAACAGCTGAAATTTACCTGTTCAGGTGACAGGTAAACTATTTTGAACCGGACATTGATCGGTCTATTCAAAGTTATTTTCTTACATTTCACTGGTTTGCATCTAATTAATTTAGTCAAAAAGATTTAAAATATCAGAAATACATTTACAAATATGATTTGATGAAAAAATTAAAAAGGTGAAAATGAAAAATCGTCATAACCACGTTGTTTGAACAAGTGACATGTCTCTGTTTGAACTAGTACACGTGTGCGCATGTGCGCAGGTGTGAAATTTAATTATGCATCCTAATTTCTTCAAAAAATGCTTAAATTGTCATTGATACCTTTATCTCACGTTTATTTCGAATATTTTCTTGAAGAAATAACGTAGAATGAGCTACTTACACTCATTCATGCTTTGCAAACGTACACAGAATTTTACATATCCGTCTCTGGTCTATGTTTTACCATTGTCAAGATAACATCCGGTATTATAGATTTAAAAACGAAAGTAAAGTTTTTGACAACGTTATTTTGCACAAATAAAGAGTCTAAGGCTGATATAAGTACGCTGATGTTGCACTCTTCGAATGATGCACTGCCAATTTAACAGTTTACGTCAGAATTTCGAATTTGAATCAAAGAACGTTTAATATCGTTTTTTTTTAATGTCAATCATTGAGATGGCCAATTCGTCACCCGATTACCAAAATTGCCTTTTGTTCATTTAGTCTTAAGGGATTAAAATCGGGATAATATATAAAATGTCCGGCTGGCTAAAAATAATTTTGGAAGCCCTGCTCAGATCATTACAGTTATTTATAATATTGGAGATGCTACACTATGTAATAATAACTCACAACTCTCTAAGGTCATTACAGTTATTTATAATATTGGAGATGCTACACTATGGAATAATAACTCACAACTCTCTAAGGTCATTACAGTTATTTATAATGGAGATGCTACACTATGTAATAATAACTCACAACTCTCTAAGGTCATTACAGTTATTTATAATATTGGAGATGCTACACTATGTAATAATAACTCACAACTCTCTAAGGTCATTACAGTTATTTATAGTGGAGATGCTACACTATGTAATAATAACTCACAACTCTCTAAGGTCATTACAGTTATTTATAATATTGGAGATGCTACACTATGGAATAATAACTCACAACTCTCTAAGGTCATTACAGTTATTTATAATGGAGATGCTACACTATGTAATAATAACTCACAACTCTCTAAGGTCATTACAGTTATTTATAATATTGGAGATGCTACACTATGTAATAATAACTCACAACTCTCTAAGGTCATTACAGTTATTTATAATGGAGATGCTACACTATGTAATAATAACTCACAACTCTCTAAGGTCATTACAGTTATTTATAATATTGGAGATGCTACACTATGGAATAATAACTCACAACTCTCTAAGGTCATTACAGTTATTTATAATGGAGATGCTACACTATGTAATATTGTACGACTTTGCCCCCAGCAGAGCTATAGAAAAACAGTACATTAACAGGTGTTACACGGACACTTTTTAGATGATACACGGACACTTTTTAGTTGTTACACGGACACTTTTTATGAATAGAATCACTCGTGCATGATCAGTGAGTTCATGGACACTTTAAATTTCAATTAGATTTGAACTTTTTGTTTCACCGACATATTTACCGTCTTTTTATTAAAATATTTACGTTGGCATCAATAACTATATTTTTTTTCAAACAATTCCAGTATATTACTATTCATATCAGTACACTAAGGGATTGACCATTCAACTTCAAAAGGGGGGTTATGGTTTTTTCCTAAAAAATATTCTGATCCCCAATTTTATGAGAAAAATATATTGTGGTCAAGAAGATGACAAAATAATGTTCTGATTCCTGATTTTTCGAAAATACCGTATATGATAATGCTAATTTCGAAAAAAAAATATTTGAGTGATAGCATTGAAAAACTAAATAATTTTCTTACTCAGAAAAAAAAACATACTCCCCTTTTGAAGCTAAATGGTCGGTCCTTAAATGTTTTTTTTTCAATATATGGACACGAATAGTATTCTTGACAATGCTGAAAGTAAAGAAATGCTGGTACCGACGTTTATATTTCAATAAAAAAGACAGGAAATATATATAAAAATAATCAAATCTAATCAAAAGATAAAATCCCTATCAACTCACCAATGCACGATTGATCCTATAAATAAAAAGTGTCCGTGTAATACATGTTCAAATAGGCAGCAAATCTTGTAAGTTGAAGAAAATCGTTCAACTTATGTCACCAATTTTGGGGAGGAAGCTGCGATTGGATCATATTGTGACACGTGTTTAATCCTAATCAACACTATTAGAGACATATAAAAACCTATAAGCATGAACAATTTAAAAAAATCCAAAATATATGCCTATATATATCTAATTACAAGACAAAATCCATTTTTTCATAACATTTCGTTCACTAATGAAATAGGAAATTCATTCTTTTTATACATTTATATTGTTATTGAATTCATATATTTGGGAGCAAACGTACGATTTTTTTTTATGGGGGAATGGGGGAATGGAATGGCACATCCTGCATTTTTCAACAAAAAATGGATCAAGCCTGTTTATTTTAAATTTATTTTAACCCCCTCCCTTTTCCGTTTTTTCCAAAATTAAAATCAAATGTTAGCTTGCTTACCACTGATATCTTTTTTATACATTACTTACTTGCGAAGTTGCATTTTAAAAAGTCTCAAATGTGTACGACATTCATCTTTTACTTGACATGGTTCTTTTTTATAAAATTATTAGATTCTTGAATATCTTGAGAAAAAAATCTCGGCTGAAGGGAAGTAAAAAAAAAGTTTGTTTAAACTGTAACTTACATTAACTGGTATATGACCATTTAGTTTTCTAATCTGTTTAATTTTGCTACCTCTTCTAAATGCAAAATGTACTTCTTCTTTCTTGAAACGTCGTACAAGTCAGATACAAAACAAAGATAACAAAAAAACAGGCCGGAAACAAACTGCCGTATAGTTTTTCTGCACTTGTAGTCAGGTCAAGGTCCTCGGCTATCGCCTCGGACCTTCACCTGACTACTCGTGCAGAAAAACTATCCGGCAACGGTTGTTACCGGCCTGTTTCTTTGTTACCTTTGTATTGTATCTAATACATAACTCACAACTCTCTAAGGTCATTACAGTTATTTATAATGGAGATGCTACACTATGTAATAATAGCTCACAACTCTCTAAGATCATTACAGTTATTTATAATGGAGATGCTACACTATGTAATAATAACTTACAGCTCTCTCAGATCTTTACAGTTATTTATAATGGAGATGCTACACTATGGAATAATAACTTACAACTCTCTCAGATCATTACAGTTGTCAAAAGCATCCTCTGGAATATAGTCTACATCATTATTATGTAGATTTAAATATCTTAGGCTTGACAGATTGGTAAATGGGTTCTCATGAGTAAACCGGAATTCATTACTCTGTAAATTTCTGTGAAAAAAAGAAAGTGTTTACTGTTTAAGCAGTTTTTTGTTTTGTTTTTTTAAACTATTCATGCTGTTGCTGTTTATTTGTTGGTTTATTATCTCATAATGGTTTAAAAAATGTATCTTTGTCTTGTGTTATCATAGAGACATGCAATAATAAAAAAAAAATTTAATTGTTTATCTGCTAACAATACTTAAGTAAAACTATGCACAAGATAGGGTCCCAACTAATTGGCCTCATCATCAGGTTTAAAAATTAAAGAGATGTGGTATGATTGCCAATTAGACAACTATCCACCAAAGTTCATATAAAATGAATGTAAGCAATTATAGGCAATGTGCTGGCTTCAACAATAAGAAAAACCCATACTTTATAGTCGGCTCTAAAAGGCCCTAACATGAAAAATATGAAACGTTTCAATTGAGAAAACTTACAACTTAATTTTCCCAGTATATCAAAACAATTCACGAACTAGACATGAATGTATTTGTCCCAAAAAGTCAAAAGCCTGATATCTTAACAACAAGTGTAGACACAGACATTCATGGATGGTAATCAGCATTCAGGACCAATACTGGTTTGACAAAAAAATTCCTGTAGTAACGATTATTTAAATTTCATACTATCAGCATTCAGAAAGTGAATGCACTGCCGATATAACAAGATTGTGTCCATCAGACATGGGGTAATTGAAATATGTAATTGTAATTGACCGTAATTAATTACAATTTCTCAAGTAATTGAATGTAATGTGTAATTTAACATTTTTTTCAATTACAATTTCTCAAGTAATTGAATGTAATGTGTAATTTAACATTTTTTCAATTACAAGTAATTGAAAGTAATGAATTACATAGCCAAAATTGTGAGTAATTGACAATTACATTTTAATTATATCTCAATTACATTTAAATTTTGGATCTTATAAATATAACCTCTGGCTATTTGTTTTATTTTAATAAATTTTTACTGACACAGAATGAATGTGACTGCAGAGGTCGAACCCTGAACAGTTGGGGCAAGTATGGACACAACATTCAAGCTTGATACAGTTCTGAATTTGGATTGTGATTAAATAGTTTACACAGCATAGGTTTCTGACACAGAATGAATGTGGTCTAAGAACTTTAAAATTTTTAATTTACCTATTCAAACCATATCATTATTATTTGCTTTTATATATAAATCAGAAATAACCAATTTAAAATGAAAAATTTCAAAAAAAAAAAAAAAGAAAAAAAAAATCCCTCCCGTAAAATTTTTAGAACCCCCTTATGATTCATCACCCCCAAACTCAATCCCAGCCTTCCTTTGTGGTATGGTACCTTGCAGTACAATTTCAGAGAGATCCGTACACTTGAACACAAGTTATTGTCTGGAAACTAGAAAAATGCTTGTTTTTAGGCCCCTTTTTGGCCCCAAATTCCTAAACGTTTAGGGCAATTACCCCCAAACTCAAACCCAGCTTTCCTTTTGTGATATGGAACCTTGTAGTACAATTTCATAAAGATCCATACACTTACACACAAGTTATTGTCCTGAAACTAGAAAAATGCTTGTTTTTTGCCCCGTTTTGGCCTAAAAATTCCTAAAATTTTGAGGCAATTACCCCAAAATCAATCCATGTATGGATCTCTCTGAAATTGTACTGCAAGGTACCATACCACAAAGGGAAGGCTTGGATTGATTTTGGGGGTAATTCTAGTTTCAGGACACTTGTGTGTAAGTGTATGGGCTGATAATAAAAAAACTAAGTACATGTTCAGATTCAGCATATCAAAGAACCCCAAGAATTCAATTTTTGTTAAAATCAAACTAAGTTTAATTTTGGACCCTTTGGACCTTAATGTAGACCAATTTGAAAACGGGATCAAAAATTAAGAATCTTAATACACGGTTAGATTCGGCATATCAAAGAACCCCAATAATTCAATTTTTGATGAAATCAAACAAAGTTTAATTTTGGACCCTTTTGGCCCCTAATTCCTAAACTGTTGGGACCAAAACTCCTTAAATCAATCCCAACCTTCCTTTTGTGGTCATAAACCTTGTGTTTAAATTTCATAGATTTCTATTTACTTATACTAAAGTTATTGTGCGAAAACCAAGACAAATGCTTATTTAGGCCCTTTTTTGGCCCCTAATTCCTAAACTGTTGGGACCAAAACTCCCAAAATCAATCCCAACCTTTCTTTTGTGGTACTAAAGTTATTGTGCGAAAACCAAATGTCTTTGGACGATGACGACGACGTGATACCAATATACGATCGCAAAAAAATTTGTTTGCGGTCATATAAAAATAAGAGCTTTCTTTTTGTATCATTTTCAATGAAATACATTAAAATATAAAATTTCAATAGGTAATAACAACAAAATTTGATGTTTTCGAAATATTGAATAAGGCTTTTTATCATTTTGAGCATTTAACCAAACAAGATACCTAAGTTTTGCTCATCTTTGATACTGATCACTGAATTTGAAAATAGTCACTGAAGATATTATTTGTTATTACTATAAAGCAATGGATGATAATTATGTACATTTCATAGGAGAAATGGATGTCTTCAATATTTTATCTAAATTATCCTTTCAAATGTAATTGAAGTAATTAATTACATTTGTCGAGTAATTGGAAAGTAATTAATTACATTGGTAAAAAAGGTCAAATGTAATGTGTAATTCAACTGAAGATTTTGTAATTGAATGTAATTAATTACCATCAAAAGTAATTGACCCCATGTCTGGTGTCCATAGTACATGGATGCCCCAATCGCATAATCACTTTCTATGTTTAGTGGACTGTGAAATTAGGGTCAAAACTCTAACTTGGCATTAAATTTAGAAAGATCATATCCTAAGGAACATGTGTACTAAGTTTCAAGTTGATAGGACTTCAACTTCATTAAAAACTACCTTGACCAAAACTTTAACCTGAAGCGGGACGGACGGAGGGACGAACAAACAAACAGACCCACGGAACAGAAAACATAATGCCCATAAAAGGGGCATAAAAATTGTTACAACTCAACATGATCAAGCTCTGGACCAAATGTAAAACAAGAGGTTGTCAGAGTGACAGCAAACGGGTTTTCCTGCAGAGGTTGAACCCTGAACAGTTGAGCAAGTATGGACAAAACATTTCAGCTTAAAACAGCTCTGAATTTGGATAGTGATTGACTATTTGATACAGTATAGGTTTGTGACACAAAATTAAATGAATGTGGTCAATGAACTGAAACATTTGAAATTGGACATTTACCTATTATGGTCCAATATCCAAAATGTAAGTACATTGTTAGAATCAGCATATCAAAGAACCCCAAGAATTCAATTTTAGATAAAATACTTATAAACTAAACAATTTCTGTCAAAAGAGAAATAACTCAAATTTATTTCCATGAATCAGTAATGTAAACATCTAAATTAGATATGATTGAACAACTAAAAAATAGTTCTCTAAAATTAGATATGATCATGATGATGTATCTATTTTCAAATCATAATCAAATATAATTAATAGTTCCCAATATTTTTTCTTTCATTTGCCACAAACTAATATAGATCTGCAACTTATTTATCAATGTCAACAACTTTATTGAAGTTATATCGATAACTGAACAAAGAGAAAAGCTTAAGTCATGCAAATTAAACTTTACTTTTATTTAGTCACAAGAAACAACATATCTTAATTTCAAAAGATTTCTTCAAAGATATATCATGTTAATGAACGGACACTGTTTGGCAGGTGCCTGTCCACACGCTGTTGACATACCCAAATCAATAACCGATTTTTTTTCTTTGAAAGTCTTTTACTGTTATTGATCATTTTCACCAAAATAAATAAGAGTTGTCTTATTGACACTCATGCTGCATCTTTGTTTATAAATACCTGTAACTTTATGATATATAGCACCTGTGTTTTAATCTTCAACTGTATTCATATTGTGTTTTGAATCAAACTTATTCGTTCAGTGTATATTTACTTGTTTTTGTTTTATGGTGTCTTTTTTGATGAGTTAAGCCTTTTTCATTTAATTTTTTATAGCGAATCTTTCATATTATCATTTTTCACTGTTGTCTCCGGTTAGAGTGAAGGTTTGTGGCCCTGTTAAAACGCTTAAACCCGCTGCATTTCATATGCACTTGTTCTAAGTCAAGAACCTGTGCGGAGTGGAACAAAACATAACCTTGATCTGTAACTCATCATGGACAACTCACAAACCAAAAATCAGTCCAAAATCTGAAGTGAATATGAAAAAAGACTGTATAATTGTTATTTTCAAGAAATTTTCAAAGTCATACTCCTGTAATACTGGCTTCAATCAGCAGTGTTAAACAAAACGTAAAATTGATCTGTAATTCATTATGGAGAACTCATATACCAAAATCAGCCCAATATCCTGAAAAATACTCTTCAGAACTGTTATTTTCAAAGTCTAAAGTCTGTAATACCGGCTAAAATCAGTGTGCAGAACGCAATTTAAATTTGATCTGTAACTTATCATGGACAACCCACCTACCAAACATCAATTCAATATCTGAAGTGGTTATAAAAAAAAGTCCTTATAACTGTTATTTTCAATATTTATGTCATACCACCACCACCACATTGTTGGCTGCTTTGTCGACAAGTACAACACAAAACCCTTTGCCAGTACTTGAACTTTGTTTTCATTCATTGAAATGGGCATATTACTTATTCTTTTATTTATTTCTAAATGATTTTATGAATTGTGATATGCAAATATCAACAATATTCAGACATTTATTCAAATAAGAATCAAGTGACTTTTTGTAAGATTTCTCCAGTTTACAACATTTTTTATGACAGGACAATGTGCATCTTTAATAAAACTCTCGCTGCCAATAATTTATTATGATTATAATTCGTGACCCAGTAATTACAGTAGCTGGAAGTCTCTGACGAGCATGTTAAAATATGACATAATTTGATATGTGACGTCACGCAATAATTACGTTACATTTAAGACCTTTTTAAGCACAACGTTAAATGTCACTATAGCAACAACCTCACATTACCTCCACCTTAAATGAAGGGTAATTTTAATCTGGGTTAAGGCGTTCACACTACCTAAATTTATTCCGTATTAACTAAGTCGTGTCGAACCCAGTTTAAATGCAGGCATAGTGTGAACGGGGTATTAGAGATTTGATCTAAAAAACTATGCTGTTGACATTAGATGGCATTCTCTTACTAAATGAACGTATTGCTATAGTTATTTTGAGTAATAAGATAAAATATTGTGAATTGTTGATATAATATATTTAGTTTTTCAGGAAAATAAGCATCAAAGTTGTTCTTTTTGTTTAAATATATTAAACTTTTATCAGGACTATTCTTTTTGTCGGTGCCACTAAATGGCATTGGCATAAAAAAATCACGATAACTGTATAATTGTATAATTATCTTGACCAATTATCTAGACAAATTATGAAAAAATTCCTGATAAGTCTTCAAAATACCTGATTTATGTTGACTAATATTGAGATAAGTTATGTCAACTCAGATTACTCGATGGCAGAAATAGGCCACCACAATATTTATGAACAGTTAATACAATAAAAATAAGTTACACTTACAGTTCTACTAGTGTTGAAGGAAATGCAGTATTTTCTATCACCAAAATCTTGTTATTATTTAGATTACTGTGAAATAAAAAAGAAAGAACAAATATTAATTAAAAAATATAATTTAGGAAACAAAAAATTAATAAATTGTTTCTTTCATTTACACACAAACGCACATCTATCTGATACCTTGTAAATAAATTTAAAGGCAATATCTTACAATAGTCTCACACAACAAAATGACAACAATGTTAAGATTAGTTACACTGTAATGTTTAGAACTAGAATAGTTGTAAATTTGTCTGTTACAGTGTTGGTAATTATAGCAGTTCTGTAAAGTAAACAGTTTGAAAACAGCTACAAGTTTGTCCCATAACAGAGTTGGTAATAATATTTCTGTAATTTTTTGTGCTATTTTCACATTTCTTGATTGGTGTGAGAAAGATTTCTCCTTACTGTTGAAATATCTGTTCTCAGCAAATGATTGGTCGAAATTTAATTATGACCTCAAATTTTCTTGGTTTCTTCTGAATTTTTCTATTGTCAATTTATGACATCATGAAAAAAGGCAACTATGCCTGATGACATCACATATAAAGATCACAACATTCAGCAAATCTTTACAAAGGATTGAAAGAATGAAAAACATTAGAGAAACAGATTCCACCACTATAACTTGTGTATCAAGATATTTCTCCACTAACAACACTTAATTATTCAAAAAGCTCGGCAAGCCTCACACTTTATATATCAAAATTTTACTGTCTGAGTGGAGAGTTGAAAGGTGAAAAAAAATTGACACGACTTCTATGCATTAAATGTGTCATGATTTTAGCCATGATTCAATGTTACGTAACATGTTTTAAAGTTTCGTTGAATATCTGATTCATGATTTTAGCCATGATTTCATGTTATGTAACATGTTTTAATATTTCGTTGAATATCTGATTCATTTGCATTCGGATTGAATAATTAAAAAAAATCATACTGTACCATTGGGAAATTTTAATGAAAACCGAGGGCAACATAAACTTCTCCTTGAGGCTTCTGCAGAGCAAAGTCCTTAACACAAGGACTATAATGTCACTAACTTTGCCTGGTATGCTGACCTCTATAAGGTAACTATAGATTTTGAATTAAATTTAAATTTTCCTATATATATCAAACATTCAAAAGAAAGCCTCACAACACCTAAATATATATATAAAACAAGAATGCGTCAATAGTACACAAATGCCCCACTCACACAATCATTTTCTATGTTCAATGGACTGTGAAATTTGGGTAAAAACTCTAATTTGGCATTAAAATTAGAAAGATCATATCATAGGGAATATGTGTACTAAGTTTCAAGTTGATAGGACTTCAACTTCATCAAAAACAACCTTGACCAAAACCTTTAACCTAAAGTGGGACAGACGGACGGACGGACTAACGAACAGACGAACGGAACCACAGACCAGAAAACATAATGCTCTCTACTATCGCAGGTGGGGCATAAAAAAGACTTGGTAAATATTTAATCAAACTTGGAAAACTAACATTTAAGTATCACTCATTTATCTTATCAAATTTCATCTAAGAACAATGGCTACATTTAATTATTCAGGAGGAAAGTCTCTTATGCTAACATGACTTCATTAAAATATGAAAAAAAAAATTATTGAATAAATAGAGAATATCATATGGCTTTTTCAATATCACATCCGTATCAACCCGAGACACCAATATAATCCCAAGAGCTCTGCTCGAGGGATTATATTGGTTGAGGGTTGATACTGTGTGTGATATTGAAAAAGCCATATCATATACACTTTATTATATACATATACCTCACGTAGTTGTTTTTTATGTGACATGACGTCATACAGGTAAGGAGGTTTGAAATGACGTCATACAGATTATAGGTTTGACATGACGTCATACAGATTAGGGGTTTGATAAAGCCTTTGCAACAGTGACTGCAATCGATGACGTGACGTCATACAGATTAAAGGTGTGATAAAGCCTTTGCAACCGTGCTGATATCGATATCATCACGGGTGGCTGATACAGCACGCTTGCCAATGATTGTATTACACATACAATTTATCTGTATTTACTACTAAGTATATAATAATAGAATTTAGCAGCTATACTTTCAGTATGAACTTAAATTCATTTAGATATACTGTTGATAAATTATGGAATGAGTACCGGTAACCAAATCATTTTAGAACACATACAACATTCATACAAGAAATTTGATTAATGCTTGGAATGATAGCTAAATTTCAACTGCAATGGTTGTTATGCCTAATATGTTCATTACCAAAATTATTATGTTCCTGCTTTAACTTTTAGTTCTAATGTTGAATGTAAAATGTTATAGTGCTTCATAATAATGCTACTGCTTATATGCTAACACTATACTATACTATAGTTCTGTATGTAAATGTTTGTGTGATAAATGTCTTGTCTGCGATATATTAAATGTGTGTATTAAAATGTAACGGTTTATTTCTTCCTCTGTGATATTTTATCTCGCAGAGAATTTTTTACAGTAAATTTTTTCCAGACATGGTATATCACGGGTAGAATTTTTCCAGAGGAGTGAAATTCTATCCATCTTATACGGATAGTATTTAACAGTATATCTTTTCCGTTCCATATTTTGCAGAAGTTTGTGAAATACAATCCTATTGTCTACTATGCAAGGTTATAACTCACAGTATATATGATTCAGTATATGTATCTGACCATAATGATAAATGTGTCACCAAGGTAGACCATATTTGCATAATTTATCAATCAAAGGGAGGTAATTTACATTGAACAATTAAGGAATAACAGTACTGTAGTTGAAGAGTTGCCACCGTCAATAGTTGATACAGTTTTACTGGCCACGCGTAGCGGAGATAGTAAAACGGACATTTGCGACTGTCAAATCAAAATTGACAGTGGCAACTCTTCAACTACAGTACTGTTATTCTGATTCGAATGCATTACAAAAAGAAATAAAATGTTAGAGCTTGAAAAAATGTATAAATTTGACAAACAAAAAAATTCCACGAATCTTCATGAATGATTTTGGCACAAAGATGTTGTAGCTAAACGTGACGTCATACAAATGAAAACATACAAACTGGAGGTTGTTACATTACCCTATACGATTCAAATTCGGAAAAAAACACATTAAAATGGTAAATTCGAGGTAGGTGTTGTTTTATTTTCGATAATATTGTAGTAATCGAACATTTGTTGATCCAATCAATTCAAAATGGCAGGTCCCTCCTTAGTTACGCCTGGTCAACTGTGGATTTGAAGGTAACTTTTAGCCAATGAAAAAAATTGTTACATAAAAATTGCGTTAGAATTTTCATTTTACAGATTTTATATTTCAGAATCAATTTCATAGTGAAATTGTTCCTTTATTTAACAAATTAAACAAAACTTACCTAAGTTGTAGTTTGGTGTTAATTTGGTAAGGTCCAATCTACCAGAATCACATGAGTGAACAGATGATCACATGATGCAAATCAGACTTCAGAGTGGAGAAAGTCAGGAACTGAAACTTCCATAATAAGGGTGGGCACAAATCACAACTCGGGCGGGCATGTGATTCTGGTAGATTGGACATTACTAAATTAACATCAAACTACAACTTAGGTAAGTTTTGTTTAATTTGTTAATTTAGTAAGTCCGATCTACCTATAGAATCACATGAGTCTTTAGAGTTCAGTTCTGCACTTTCAGTCAAAATCTTTGTTAAGTAGCAACAGTTATACTATAAACACTACATACTTTCACTACTTGAAAACACTACTAATTCTAAATTTTGGAAATTATATACATCCATATATACACAAAACTATCTTATTTCCTGTTGGCCTATAAGATTTCTTTACTGAAGGACTGTCATTTGTAATTGGTCTTTGATAAAATTTTCTAAACACACTATCTTTCCTCCATCCAGCTGTGCATAGAATCGTAGATATTGGAATTCGTCCACTAACATAGCAGGCCTCTACATTATCATTTTTTCTAACTTGTCCCTTCGGACAAGTTGCAAGAAAATCAACTTGTCCGAACTCTGAACTCACTTGTCCGAATTCATAATTTAAAATCTTACATATTGATGATATGCAATAATAACACTTGCGTTTTGATTGTACCTAATAAAGGGAGCATTTTGTTATGTTATATGAATACCACATCAAAATTCATTTTATTATTTCAGACTAAAAGATTATTTGCAAGACTGAGTTCTCCGACTCAATGTCACTATCATGTATCGATCATTAAATCATCATTTCTTGCCAAACCACTAAGTTCCCCTATGGACCTATTCATTATGTAGTAGTGGTATGGGTTAAACCAAAGATGTAAATACACCTGGCCACCTTGTATATGATTAATTAAACCTTTTTAATTTATTGATGGTGTCAAAACAAGCTTTTACAAATTATTTTGATTTGTATATATTTGGTCCGGGTACACAGTTATCGTCCTTTGATTTTCGTTGTCCACGAATATAGTCCCTAGTGTGGACAGTGTGTTACTTGTCGATTTTTTTTATACCCCTTCCAAATTTATTTCTCCATGTTTTATGACTCAAATAGTAAGTAGGGGGGTGAAATGACACTGTAAAAAAAATTGGGTCATGAATTTTAAAGTAAAGTAGTGATTTGGTCCAGCTGAAAAATGTTAAAAATTAGCACTTCGGAAGCTGTCAAAAGATTTGAAGACCCCCTTAACATGAAATTGTCCATATTTTGAGTTAGAGCCGATGAAGTTTTCTATAATTTTGATATAATTTGTCCCAAAAGTAGTACAACACACTGTAAAAATATTATTGAGAAAGCGCAGGTGGGATTTTTTTAATTTTCATTTATTGTCTAAAAGAAATGCACTACGAAATAACTGTGTACTCGGACCTAAGAGGTGAAATCAGGAAATATAGAATCTGTACTTTGGCAACTTCCCTGAATGATTTGATGGTGTCAATTTATCAAATAGCATAAAACTAAAGGATTTAAACTTTTATTTGATAGAATTTCTGCAAAAATGACCAATTTTGGCATTTTATGGTCAAAATA